GGGCAATAGCAGCGGAAGCAGCTCAGCAGCTCAGCAGCAACAACGCCAACGAACGACAACTGAAAGTAAAAGGCGCTGGGGGAATTTCAAAGGAAGCGGAAGGCTGGCGCTTGGGGAGTTCAATTCGAAAACGGAATCGAAGTCCGAAAGGTTTGGTGAACTTCGTGAGGAAATCGATAAAAAAGTTGAATGAAATCCAGACAGATAATCGTGAACTGTAATCTTTGAAGTGATAATTCCAGACAAAGCAAACAAATATTAACAGTTCATTTGCGTCTTTAGATTCCGGGAATTCCCAAAATATAATTAGAGACTTTAAAATTATTTAATGAAAGGTAGTCACTGGTTTATTTAAACTCCTACAAAAACTAAGTAATTTTAACTCTATAGTAATAATAGTTCAAAATATTTGTTTTGAGGCTTAAATATGTATATTCGATTTAAAAATCGATGAAAAAAGTTTAAAATTAGTTGTTAATTTATATTAAAAAAAAAACATGTGCTATTACTTATTACTAAAAATTGATTTTATTTTGTTTGGAAAGTGTAATGTAGAGCTTAAATGAGTTTATATTTACATTGGCAAGTTTAATTAAAAATTATAAATGCGAAAACAAAGGAATATAAATGAGCAATATTTTTCAAAATAAAAGATTGTTTTTGAGCACGGTGCTGAGCAATAAATCGCTGAAAATAATTTTTTTTTCTAGCCGTGCAGCGTTTATGGAATTTTGACAGCCGGCAATCAAAGACCGTGCAATATTCCAGCATGTTTTCTTTGCATTCTCGGCCGTTTTGGCTATTGCCAAATAATAATAAAATTTCTCGAGCAAAACAATGGCAAAATAAAGCTGTGGCTGTGGCTAAACTTTAATGTAACCGACGGCCAAACAAAAGACAATTGTCAGAAGCGCAGAAACAGAGCGAGCAGCCACAATGGGCCGCCAGTCAAAGAACCAAACAACCAGCAACAATGAGCATTCGCACTCCGGTACAACTGGCAACGGGGTCTGGCTTTTGGATTTGGATTGGCCCGAGTTGGCAACTGACCCAGTTTACGCCACAATTATAAGCCTGTCTTGCTCTCCGGCTTTTGTTGTTGCCATTGTTGCCGTTGTTGCTGTGGTTGCCGTTGTCACTGCGCAGGCGCAGCGGCAACATGAAGTTTTTGGCAGCAACAGTTTCGTTTTGCACTCGATTTTGGGCGTCTAGAAGAGTCGTGGCAACGAATCTCGAATCTTTGTAGCTGACATTTGATAGTTGGCTTTCAAATTGACTACAATTGAGACGAGAGCAGTTTGATTCTGTGTTACTGTGTCGCTTAGGCGGTTGATATTGCTGTTGCTGTTGCTGCTGCTGTTGCTGCTGCTGATGTTGCCGCTGGCAGAGACAGCTCTGTGCCCATTCCCAAGCAGACAGAAAACAGAAAACAGTCGACAGCAGACAACCAGAACTTTGTCCAAAAAGTTCTGTGGCCCGCTTGCCGCTTTAATTGCATTTTGATTTGCGGCCAATTTGATTGACGGCGGCATTAGAAAAAACATAGAGGAGAAAAACGGAGAAAGAGAGTATGCCGGAAACTTTTCAATTAGCCAACTCAGACGAATTTTCTCACATAAATTTGATTACTGCCGGCAGCTCTAGATCCGAGTTAGGTATTATAAAGGTTCAAGAAATTGTGTACTCGTAGAATTAGAGTAAAATAACTATTAAACCTTTAAAATAAGCTTGGTAATTTTTTACGAAATGTATATAAAGACCCTATTTATGTTGCATATTATATTATAATATCAAAATAATCTCTTTTGTAAGTCAAATTAACTCTTAGAACATGTAATGAAAAATAATCTGATATAGACTTTCTTAGATCTCTTAAAACAGTTGAATGCTTTTATTGGGCTTATTTTGTAGATTAAAAATATATATAGGTGATAATAATTTTATATTAAATATTAAAATGTAATTAAATAAATATTTGACATCAGCGTTTTGTATCATGTAACGATAAATACCTCAAGTGACTTCGCTTAATTAAAAAGTAGTAAACAAAATTAAAATATCCTTTTAATTAATTAACATTTTAAAAAGAAGCTTCCTTTAAATTGTTTTTTTATTGAGCAAGTAAGAAGGTTAAGAATTTCAGGCAGTAATTATGTTAAAGTTATTCGCTGAACATTTCTTTGTGCCCCACTTCTCCTCTTTATTTTAGCCTAAATGCAAATAAATATCACTAAAAGTTTATCAAATTGTTTGAGAAATAATTGGCTTAAGCAAAGGGAGGCAGATGTTGCTGCCGGCATGACATGGTTGCTGCTGTTGCTGTTGCTGGCAGCGATGTTGATATTGCCACAAAATGCCGCATGCCGGCATGAAAACTTTGGGCCTGTGTGTGTGTGTTTGTGTTATGTGCTTTATGTTTGACCCAAATTCCTGTAGAGCCATGCAAAGTGTTGCTGCTGACGTCGACGGTGTTGCTGTTGCTGCTGTTGCTGCAACATCCGAAATGCAATTTCTGCTTGGCAAGCATCGCGCTATTTTCCTTTTTTTCATTGTACTTTGTGCGACTGCCAACAAAAGCTTTGCAAATTAAATAAAAGTCGTGCCACGCCCACTCATATACACACAGACACTATAATTGCATTTGTTTTTTTTTTTTTGTTCAGGGAGAGAGATGCAGGGTAATAATGGTTTGACCCATTTAAATCCTTAAACTCCAACATTTGCACGGGGAAACGTTGAAATTAATGTTAGTTTTAGGCTTTCAACAATTTTAGCCAACTAAATCTCTCTAAGCCAACTTAATTGGAAAATATCTCACGGCAGTTGCAACTGCAACAGCAATCGGCAATCAGCAATTGCCAGCTGCAGCATTGCCATAACCCATAAGCCGTAATAACCCCATCCGATTCGACAAAGTCTAATTAAGGCGAGCAAGCAAATTCAAAAGGCGCCTCGAAAGTTGCTACCGCCCACCGACAGCAGCAATAGCAACAGCAATATCGCAGCCACAGCAGCAACATCCCATTCAGGCCCAAACAAAACTTGCCTCTCAAGCAATTTAAGTAAATTATTGAACTTTCCATATGCATTGGGGCAAAGGAAAAGTCGCAAAGTAAAAGCCAGCAGGGACGAAGAATCAGTAAACTGCTGTGGGGTAAATATGGAAAATGGAAAACTTGTTTGCTCTGAAACGAAGCTGCTATGCTCTGCGAGCGCACACAGTTAATCTAGGCAAATAAAATTTGGCTGAGTAATATAGGACGGTCAGTAACGATAAGTTATAAATGATGATGCTGTTACTTTTAAAACCTCTTAAGCCTAAAATGTTTTACTTCTTCTTAAATCACTGCTGCGCAGGGGAGCTTAAACCAATTTTAGATCTGGCAAAAAAAAATAGAAAAACTAACAGTAAAAGTTATTAATTGAATGATTTTGAATGGTTAATTTATAATTTTATTGCATGTGTAAGCAATATATACCTGCTTGCATATTTAAAAAAAGCGAATAATTTTCTTATAAATTTATTATTACAATTTTTATTTAAAAATAATGACTGTTTAGCAATCCGTTCATTTAAAGGCATTTAAAGTCGGCTAGAAAGAAAATCTTTGCAGTACAAGCCTATTAAACGTGTGGTAAAAGGCAGCTCCACGACTTGGTCGTGTGGGTCGTGGGGGATTTCCTTGTGGTTCACTTTGCGTGGGCGTCGAGGAAAATTAAGGAAATGTTTGCTCAACACTGTAGGCCCGACTCTTACCGAGACAAATGCCATAAAAAATTGCAACAAATGTTGCAGCCAATAGACTTGGCTAATAAATGTTGCTCGCGTGCAGCAACGGCGACAGCGACAGCAACAGCAAAAGCAACAGTGACAGCAACAACACACTCGTCCGTTGCCTGATTTTATGAGCCCGCTCTCTTGTTTCCGATCTTTTTGGGCAATTAATTGCGCAACATCAAATAAATTGCATTTGAAAGCCAAGGGATCCCTGGAGCTGTTGCTGTTGCAGCTTTAGCTGACTTTGCTGCTGTTGCCGGCGTTGCTGCCGCTGACAACAGTCATAAAAACTAATTTCGCTCTCGGTTCGTGGGTGGATTTGGGCTTTGCAGGAAGTATTTCCCAAGCCGACTGGGGGAAAATTTGTGGCTAGCCCAACTTCAACTGCATTTAAGCTGTGGTTTCCGCCCGCTTCACATTGCTGCGGCGAGTCTGGAGTTGTTTATGGGTGCTTAGCTAAAAGGTTGGGCGGATTGTAAACCCGTTTTAGCGTCGGATGAACGGCCTCTGTCCACAAATTGAGTTTTTAAATGGTCGAATTATCTTAAGTTAAGGTTTTACAGCATTTTAAGGGGCATAAGTAGACTGGGAGTTAGATAAAAATATTAATAAACGTATTGGATACTCAAAGTATGCCAGATAAGACCACGTTTTCTTGTTCGCATTTTTAGCAAAAAGGTGTTTTTAAACTGAGATAATATATGCACTTTGGCAGTTAAAAGTCTACTTTAAGTAAGCTCAAAGCAGGGAAAAACATATCGAACTTGGCCGTAAAAAACCTAATTTATTTTAACATGAGCACGAGTCATTTATATATTGCATTCACAATTCTTAGAAGTCATTATAGTTAATCGTTTTACTGACTAATTACCTGAAATACCCCGATTTTACAACGTAATATATGTTTTTCCTAGATTAAACTCAGTTGTGGTCCCCCGCTTTCATGTGTGTGTGTGTAGGATAAATTGCACCTCTAAAGTTTTATCTTCGAATTGCGAATTTCCACTGACAGCACAACTGACACAATCTGCGATCTCTTGGAAGAAATCTGCCAGTGGTTTCGCAGCTAATAAAGTTATCAAGGGGGCAAAAAGTAAAAAACCAAGAGGTGCAGCCTTCCCTTCACTTTGGCCCCAAACGGTTGGCATTTGGGTTTGGGTTTTGTCTTAATCATATTTCCTTAGTGCGGGTATGAGGGTATGGCTTGGGTTTTAGTACTTACAATCGCGGCTCATGCCAGCGGAGAGGCATTTCTTGAAGCGGCAGTACTGGCAGCGATTGCGATTCAGCCGGATGACCAGACACTTGCCGTCCCGCAAACAGCGGTATTCGATTTGTTTTTGGATGCTGCGACGAAAGAAACCCTGCCAGGAAGACAATAAATTATACAAGGGGGGCGCACTTTAAAAGCATAAAAAAAGCTCACCTTGCAACCCTCGCAGGAGGTTACACCATAGTGGTAGCCCGATGCCTTGTCGCCACAAACTTTGCAGGGCACAAATGATTTCGAGGAGACCCCGTTGTTGTTATTGCTGCTGCCGTTGCTGTTGCTGCTGCTGCCGTTGTTGTTGTTGCTGCTGTCCGCTAGGCCAAAAGATTGCTGCTGCGGGTGTTGCAATTGCTGTTGGTGCTGGTGTTGCTGCTGCAGCTGTATCGTCGTCGGCGGCTGCTGCTGCTGTTGCTCTGCAAGGGAAAAATGCATTGGTTTACACACATTTCCTCCGCTGGAAAGTTGTCCAGCTGGTCGCTTATGCAATGGCACATTGCTCATACGCCGCATGTGCAACGCTCGCCGCTGTGCAATTTGCCAAATGAGTTGGCTGTCACTGACGGTATCACCCACTCGCCATCTCCCAAGTTGTCACACTTGCAACACAGGGGCAGCCACAATCAATCGACAACTGTCGCAGTCCATTGGGTTTACCCACCTAATGGCTAAAATCAATTTTTCCGGCAGCCTTAAGACTTCTATCTTAATCATCCTTAAGCCAGCTGGCAATCAAAGTCAAATGCATTAGCCACAAAGTGCATTCAACTCGACGGCGATGTGCGATAAGAAGAAATGCCAAAAAATCACGTATACGCCACCGCCTACAATAAATTGCCTGTAAAAACGGCAGTCACGAGGAAAAACTGCAGCCGCACAATTTTCACTGCGAGAGCCGAAAAAAATTTGCATTGCAAATTCAAAAAAAAAAAAAACAAAAAAAACAATAAAGGAGAAACAGAAGAGCAGGCAGCAAAGAAAAACTGGAGCCAGACAGCAATGTTTGCTTCTTGGCATTTTATTTCGAATTCAATTTGACTGCATTTCTTGCTTTTATTTTTTTCGCTTTTCTAATGCAAGAGGAAGAGGCAAATGAACTAAGCGCGGAGTTTGAACTGCCGTTGTTGTTGTTGTTGTTGCTGCTGGTGTTGCTGGTTGTTGGTGTTGCTAGTTGCTGCTGTGCCAATTGGCGTTGCCACACCTCAAAAATGCGAAACAAAATGAAATTAATGTGCAACTTGCACGCGCCGACAAACAGGCGAAAGGAAAGAAAAAGCAAAGATTGGGCCACACAGAAAGAATATTTCGTAGATATTAACATTTCCCTTTGTATTAAGTTAGAATAAATCAAATTGCAAAATATGCAAACGATTTTATTTGACTTTCATAAGGTTTTTTATACTCTATATACAAACCAAAAAGGAAAAATGAAACATTATTGCTCGGATAAATTTCAGCAATAAATAAAATTCTTGTTGACAGACATTTCATTTATACCCAATAGAAGGTAGACTCTAATTAGGATATCCACAAAAGCTAATGATATCCAAAAATGAATTAATGTGTAATTAGAAAATGTATTGAAAACTTATTTTAACTCCTCTGTAAATTTATAAGCCCTATTAATTATTTTATTAAATATTAAGTCTTGTATTTGTACAAGAATGCTATTATTGGAATTTAAATAGTATATTGAATAGAATTTTAGAATTTATTTAATTTTTTCTGTAATATATTTTTAAAACAAATTGTTACTATTAAATAAAATCAAAAACAATCAGAAACTGGGTTAAATTATTTTTTTTTTTTACTGCAAAACCCAATATGATCAACATTTTTATAAGTGCATGGCGCGTTACGCGCTTGTGCAATTGCAAATTGAATTTTCACCATTGGACTGCCGGCAACAGCAACAACGTTGTCTGGAAAATGTCGTCGGCCCGGGCAGGAATGAAAAAGAAAAACCCAAAGGAAACTCAAGTGCCTGCTTTTCATTTTCGCGCCGCGTTCAAATGCAAATCATTTGGTGGCTTTTGTAAGTTGACAATTTGAAACGCCATTGTTTACCCAGCCGAAGAAAGGGGTGAGGTGATGCGAAGTGAGGGCTGGCGGAAAACTGCTTGGCATTTCCGCGTTGTCAGACAAGTCAGAGGCAGGCCATGGACGATAGACGACAAAGACTTCATATTTTCCTCGATTTTTTCTTTCCATTTCCATTGCCTGCATTTATCTGAGCGACGACAACTGATTGAGTGGGGAAGGCAAGCGCAGCGAACGGCGGTTGGCAGACATAACTTGCTGCAGCAAATATCAATTGGAGTGCCTAGCAAAGGCAATCGAGTTTTTGACTTCTCCTTGATGAATTTCTATTTGCTTTAACCCCCACAAACCCGGTTAGACAGATTTAATTTGCTTGCAATTTGCATTCGCCTGCAACTGCCCGCACTAATTGCTGCAATTAAATGTTGCCGTTGTAAGCCGCAAAATGAAATCCTTGCCAGCGAGTCCAGGCAATTAGCAAGTCTGGCCAAGACAAATTTACCCAAGTGCCAGTGGTTTTTATGGTTGAGGGAGTGTGCACGGAAAATAATGGATTTGTATATGAAAAAATTGTAATATGACTTTAAAAGCGGCCTTACAACAACATGAAGCTAATAAAAATATGCACTTTTATTCATTTTATTAGGCAAATAAATTTCCTTCACAAAATGTTATATATAAAGGGGGCATGAAAATATATTTTATTAACGCATCTTCGTTTGAACAACTTTCCACAGTTCACAAACAAATTTTATATACAAAATAGAGCAACTACCTTGAAGCAAAAATGCATTTACAACTTTAAATAACGTTTTAAGCTATGATATTTATGTTATAAATAATTTCAAAGCTAATGTCTTAAAATAACAAAAACAAATATAAACAATTTTAAAAACTCATAATGGTTTTGATTAAACAACATTAATATTATTTAATAAAGTTGTTTACATGCAATGATAAAACGCTAATGAAATAAACAAAATGTTGGAAATACTTTAAGTTAATAAACAAAACACTGTCCAAAATAAACACGCAAGCATTAGAGTTTGTTGCTGTAGATGAATAGCTATTATTTTTAATGAAATATTATTGAAATCCTTTTTAATACAAAATAACTTGAACTGTGCTCTGGTATTATTAAATTCTTTCTTGTGTAGACAGCAGCTGACCGTAATAGTTATTTAACTTAATTTTTGTTGCATTTTCCGGCTCAGTTCTTAGTACCTATTAGAGCAAAGGAAAACTCCCTCAAATAAGCCCATTCAAATGCCAAATCCAAGGCAATCCGAGACCAATTCAAGGCGATTTATGAAAATGAAAACATTTTTGCCATGGCTTTCAATTTCATGGCAACCGCATTGACAGACCTGCAACGTGAAAAGCAATTTCCTCGTAGCGCACAAGGAAAGGCGAAACAGCAACACAGCCACTGGCCAATAACAGGGAATTATATTCATTTTCACATTTTTCATGCTGCGCTTTAATAGTTTCCTCAAAAGGAGAAGAAGTCGAAGCCCCAACGACTTTCAATTGCTGTTATGCAATGAATGCAAATTTATTGAACATAATTTCCAACAGCGACAACAATGGTCCGCAAATGCAGAAGAGAGTCGACAACGCGGAAGAGTCGAAGTTGCAAGTTGCAAGTTGCACGTACCTTTGTTCAGATGCGCAACAGATGAAGATGTTGCTGCGGGGTTGGCGCTGTTGCTGCCGGCGTTGTTATTGTTGTTGCTGCTGTTGCTGCTGTGGCTGCCGCTGTTCTTGCTGTTGGTGTTGCTGCTGCTGACCGCTGACGAGGATGTATGAGCGTGGCCGCTGACATTGACAACTGTACTCCGTGCAAAGTGCTCCGAGCAGCTGGACGACGACGAGGAGGAGACCGCGTGGGAGGAGGCGGACCCAGTGGATCCACAGGATCCCGACGATCCGGAGGAGGAGGCCGACGAGCAGCCGCTGTCCGGCGAGGAGTGGGCGCCCCTGGAGGAGGGGGAACTGCTGCTGTTGTGGCTGCTGGCCGGACCGAACTGATGCACACTGCTGATGGTGAACAGAGCACCTCCACCATTGCTCAGTGTGCAGTTGAGCTGGTGTTGCTGCTGTCCAGGGTGCTGCTGCTGCTGCTGTTGCTGTTGCTGTTGCTGGTGGGTATGTTGCTGATGTGGGGGGGCTAAGCTGGCGGCAACACTCTCCACTGGCGCTGCTGTTCTGTAGAAATCGTCGCACTGCAGCAACTGCAGGGGATCGGCTTCAATGGCACTTAGGCAATCCTGCAATTCCCGGTGATGTTGCTGCTGCTGGTGCTGCTGGTGTTGCTGTTGCTGCGGAGGCTGGTGCTCCTCCTCTTCCTGCTCAGACTCCAAGCTATTGGCCTCACTGTAGGCCCCTTGGGTGGACGAGTCCTCTGGTGTGTCAAAGAAATGCAAATTAAAGTCTGAATTTGCATTAAAATTGACCGGCGGCAGCAGGGCTCCTTCGCCTTCGACCTCGTCCTCCTCCTCTTCTTCCTCGGCTCCGTCGTCCTCGTCCTCGTCCTCTTCGTCGTCTTCTTCCCCCTCGTCCTCCTCCTCTTCCTCCTCCTCGTCCTCGCTTGGCGGTTCCTCGTCCCGAGCAAAGTCCTTGATGAGGTCCTCCTCCTTGACCTGGAGCTGCGGCTGCTGCTCCGAGGAGTGATTCACACAGGTTTCGACCACAAGATTGGAGCGGATTTGTGCCTGTGCCTCCAGCTCTATTTGGTATACATCCATGTTGCTCGGATCGGATCGGTTAGATGGCCATCCATCATCTTCATCATCGTCCTGCTGGCGGAATTCGATGTTGGCACCCCCCGAAGGCGCCTGCTCAGCATGTTTGTGGGAAATCTTCGCGATTCTATGTCATTTGGCACTTTATGGGGAATTCGGAGAAAGATTTTCGAAAGGATTCGGCACAGTCTCTTGGAAATATTTGCGTTTTAAATTTGGTTCTAGCTGCGGTTTAATTAAAAATAAAACTTACACGTTAGCATCTTGCAAAGTTACTGATGTTAAGTTAAACTACCTAATTATTAGATTTTTTGTTTATTTTCTCTAATTACTTTCTCTAAACTGGTTTAAGGAAACTACTGTCTAAACTTAAAATGTAAAACCAAAATATTCCAAATCTAAAATTCCTTCCAGAAAATTGTGAATCTTAATATGGAATTTTATAAAAGAGTTTCAATGATTAATTGTTTTTTTAAAGAGAAATATCCGTAAGGTTTAATATTAAATTTAAAAGATTTGAAGAAAAAAAATATCTTCACTAAAAAAATAATTTTATTTTTACATAATTTGTAATTAATCTTCAAACTTGGTTGCTCAATTTCGGAGTTGAGTTTATCATCACCACCCTGTTCCAAACTCTTTAGTCCCAGACCACTTAACTATGTTATGACAAATAGCCCTCTCTAATTTGTGTGCACAATTTCTCGCAAACGGCTTAATTAAATTATCACTATCATCCCGCCTTTCTCGTTCCTAATCCCCCTCGTTTTTATTTGTCACTTGCACACGGTCATCATTATAGCTTTTATTGCATAAATTTTCAATTCACTTCCGTGTTGATTTCGAAGTCCTTCGTATCCAAGTTCAAGAGTATTCCAAAAAATCGACCGATCGATTTGATATGTATGGTAGGTTCGTTATGGGGCGGCGACACTCGCGACTATCGATATTTGGGAGAAATGGTGATCGCGCGTACGAAACTCTCGCCTCGTCGAGATCCAAGCGCCAACTTCGCAGCGCTCCAAATGCGCCAGGGAAAATCCAAGCCAAACTGCAGAACCTACGACAACACACAAAAGTCCAAGACGACGGCAGCGACGCAGAAGAACAAGAACGCTGGTTGTGCGCCAGTGTGAGTGAGGGAGGGTGTGCCGGTGTGAGTGTGGAAAGAGCAGGAAAATGGAGTGGGAAAACTGCGAAGCGCCGCCGCCGCAGCACGAGGCGGAATATCTGGTGGAGATCGGGGGAAATGGCGGGAGGAGCGAGAGAGTCAATGTGCTGCGACCGCTGGAGCTTCTATCTTTCTAATCTCCACCAGCAGCAACAGCAGCAACAGCAGCAACAGCAACCAGGGAAATAACAGCAGCAACACTAGTTGCAACAGCAACAACCAAGGGAATAACAGCAGAACTACACTCTGTTACAGCAACAACACTAGCTGCAATAGCTACAATCAAAGGAATATAACAGCAGCAACACACTTTACAACAATAACAACATCAAGAACAACAGTCACAGCAACAACAAGCTGCAATAGCAACAACTGAGGCAAGAAGAACAGCAACAACAGAATCTGCCTAAGCTGCAACAGCAACAACCAGAGCAGCAGCAATAGAAGCAACAACAACTCCAGCTGCAATAGCAACAACCACAGCAGCAACAACAGCGACAACAACTCGACTTGCAACAGCAACATGCATTGCCACTCTCGCTGCCTTCGTGTTGTTGTTGCACTTTTCCATTTGCAAACTCTTTTCCTGGTTGCTATTTTCAATTTCTATTGCCTCTGCCGACGTCGCTGCCGGCGTCGGCTTCCAACATTTCCAAGTGCAGCCACACCACTTCCATACTTCCACTCAAGATCAATTTCACACACACCAGTGCAGTGCGAGAGAGAGAGCGAACCGTTACTTAGTTTGCACTATCCTCGAGGGAGAGGGCAATAGAATATGAGTGTGCGTCAGAAGGAGAGAGAGAGCAGAAGTGGGGGCGCCTCAAAGGGGGGTCAAAGAACCTTCAGTTGAGCAGGCGAGAAAGAGAAAGGGCGAACGCCAAGTGGGAGAGACAATTTTGCAATGCGGAAGTTTAAATGTTGCATGTTGCTGCTGCGTTTTCGGTTGATTTCTACTCAAAAGAAAGTGGTAAACTTTAGTTTTTGGCACAAGAACACTCTCTTTGAAAATTATTTTTGAAGATCAATAGAAATAGTATTTTTGGAAAACATTGAGGAAATATGTTCTTAGTCATTAATGTTGCATGCTGCTGCTGTTTTTCCAATTTAAGGAAAGTCATAAATATAATTGGTTGTCAAAAAAATACTCTGTGATAAACAATGAAAAGAGCCAAAGATTTGATCTAAAAACTTTTTTTAGCCCAAAAAATTTAATTTTTAATATTTTAATATTTTATCAATCATGGTTGTTTAATAAAGGGAAGGGCTTCATTTAGGAACAAGACTTTTGAAAATAATAATAATTATTTGATAACAAATAAAATATAAAGCGATTTAAAATAGGTAAAAAAGAAAGTAAAGGATTAAGGGCTTTAGCAATAACACTGCTTCTTGTAGGCGCTGGCACATTTTAAAATATTTAATCGTCTTAAAACAAGGTCAGAAAGTTACTGTTGAAAATAATTTAAATATTGCTTATAGACAGGAACAAAATTGGAAAACAGATTTGCTTCAGTAGCCACTTAAAAAATGTTGTATGATATGTAAAAAAAAAAAACAAATGAAAGAATAAAAAAAACAATGTTTAAGTTTTTAGAAAGTGTATATCCTTAGTCAACTATAAAACCCTACAATTGGTAATGCCCATAGTTTTTCCCCATTTCCCTAACCCATTGCACAATTTCCCTGACGAATGCCTGGCGCAAAAGAGAACCAACGAAAGTCAATGATCCGCCGTTGCCGCATGCTAGCTTGCCATTTTTCCAACGGGCAGCGAAAGCAACCAGAAACTGTAAATAACAAGAAAACGGCAACTGGGCGATCGGCGGAGCTATATATCCACGATCCTCCGCGAAAGCGAAAAGCAGGCGAAAAGCCGAAGTACGACGACCAATCGAGGCGATAACTCCACCGCCCCCACCGATCCACCCAAGCCAAGCCAAGCCAAGCCATATGCCATATGCCATACTATACCATACCATACCATACTATACTGTATGTTCGATTGCATCGGGCGATAAAACCTGATCTCCGCACATACACACAGATACGAAACGCACACTCCTCCAGAGAAGCTCACCCATACAAAGAAACTCGCGGTGACGACGAACCAGGAAGAGAAAAATGAAAATGCCGCTCCGCAAAGATTGTGTAATCGAATTGAGTCTATGTGTGTGTGTGTGTGTGTGTGTGTGTGTGTGTGTGAGTGTGAGTGAGAGTTGTTTGGGGATGGGCGGCGAAAAGGGGAGCTCACTATTCTTATTATTACTGCATTTCACTTATCATCAAAAGGGGGCGGTCGACGAGGGGGGGGCGGGGTGTGTAGTTGCCTTGGCTTCTTCGCTTTTTCGCGTTTTATTTATTTTGCTATTGTTGGCTCTACGTCGCTAAGTTCAATGACTTGTGGGCAACGTCATGGGCAACATCTGAGGCAGCAACAACAACAGCAGCGACAACAACAACAACAACAACCATAAGAACAGCAAAAACAGTAGCAACAACTAGGCGCGGGCAGCAACAAAGTGGCGCAAAATGCGTTTAGTTTTATTTATTTGCTTAATATTATGCCACTGCCGACAGCCTCTACATTCTACACAGAGCAAAACTGAAGAAAACCATAAGAGCCATATTTAAATTATATTTAAATAATTATAATAGCAATTCAAAGCAAAATATGTGTTTATTTTGTATAATTTTGTAAATAGAGGTGTGAAATGGCACTCCAAAAAAATCCTTTAGCTATTGCATTTGAAATATGAATGATATAATTTCCAAAAGATATTTAAAACATCATTACTTTTGTCTTGAAGATCGCAGAAATTATAAATTCTCAGAGCATTTGGTGCGTTATAAGCTTCAAAATAGTTTGCTGTGTAGGTTCTAGATTTTAGACGCTTGAATGCTGACTCTTGTTTACATTGCGCATTTTTCTTTCGCCACCATTTGTTGCTATTGTTGTTGAGGCCTGACTGATTTTGATAGCACTCGGCTGGTAAACAGACTTTGCCTCAGTGAGCGTTAGAAATTATCACTCAATGGCCAAGCAAATGGAAGGAAAAATTGCGCACAGCTGAAGATCAAACAATGGCCAAATTTAAGCGGAACAGCAAACAACTGAATATCGCAATTCAAGCTCAAAACTATAATATTTCCAACCCCATGACGTCGTGTTAGTGTCAGAATGCCAGAAAATACTAAATCTAAAACGCGGAGTTGCCCATGCAAACGACAAGGCAGGAAAAGCTGATTTTGCACTAAGAAGAAATTGTAACATATGTTTGTTTGTAAACTTAAAATTAAAACATTAGTTGTCAATTTTAAGTCAAGCCAAAGGATTGAAGCTATTATTGATTTGTTTCTAAATTCTCAAAAGATTTTAAACATAAAAATAACATAATAAATATGGCAATTTTTTACACTGTTTATAACTTTGGCACTATATCAAATTTCTATTTAAGCTTTGGAGAGAAGGTTTTTATTTAACCAAATGAATTCACTTGTTAAATGAATTCTATTAAAATTTTCTTTCAGTGCACTTAGCAATCTGGCACAGATTGTGGCAGGGCGTGCTGGTATTTCTGGCCAACACTTTTCACCGGGTGCTGGTGGCAAGTAGAGTAAACTAAGCCAAAAGTGGCGCAAAGTGGGAGGAGCGGGGGCATTGGGCGGGCGGAGAATGTCAGCAGCCTCAATAAAATGTTGCCAATCGTCGGCATTTCTTCACTCCCTAGGTCATGATCTGTTCCGTGGGCAGCTATAAATAACAGCCACCGGGAAATACAATCGAAAAACAAGAGACAAAGTCGGGGGCCAAAGGCCGGGACTCCCAACTCACTGAACTTATCCAACTTAACCAACTTAACCAACTCACCCAACAGGATGTCACTGCATCCCGATCCGGAGTGCGAGCTCAGCGAGGAGACGTGTCCGTCCGACGGACTTTGAGGCGCTTCCCTCAGCGGACTGCTGGGCGTGGTCGGGGGCGTATTGAGGCAACGCTGGCTGCCCAAAGCTATTGGCTGCGATCCGGTGGGCGATTCAATCTTGATGTAGCTCCCAAACACAGACAGCCTGCATGGGAATGACAGAAAAGTATGGTCAATCATAGCGTAGTTCTCAAGAAAATAAACTTTATACACAGCAAAGAAAATTTAAAATTAAATAAATAAAAATTTATAAATAAAATTACAAACGTATTTATTTACATTGCATTCTTAAAATCACAATTATTTAGTTTAGAGTCTAAAATTTGGAGTCTAAACTTATTTAGTATTTGTTGGTATTTGATGTTGTTTTGGTTTTCAAAAAGCAATTTAAAAATGAATGAAAAAAATATCATATCGCAAACAAGTAAATACATATTTATAACATTTATTCTACTGTTTAAGTCTGTGTTTTCCTCGTATTATCACTTTTATTTTACTGTTTATATATTCGTATTTTCTGAGACCAAATAAAATATTAGTAGTCACAGATACTTTTCTAACAAAAACTTTGTTTAATCCAATTTATTTGCAAACTTTTACAATTACTTTGGGGGTGGCAAAATAGTTTCCTTCTTGAGTTTCCGCAAAGTCAATGCCAAAGGTAATTGCGACGGAAGAAAAGCCGCAAAGTTGCTTAAAAATGCAAATAATTATCGTTAGCTGGAGTGGCCATCCCTGTTTTATTTGCCCTGTTCGTTTTTAACTCTCTTCCATATTTTCCGGTGCCGTTCGATCCCCTCGGAAACCCACCCCACCCCACCCCGCCTCTATTGTACGTAATTGATTGGAAAAATGGCCATTCATGTTAAGTGCAGGCGGCTATGGCCATTTATTCCGGGAGATATATGTATGGCGACGGGAGGGGCAAGACGGAGTGCTTCTGTATCGGCCATCTCTCTCCTGGCACAATTCTTAACTCGTTTTGCCTCGTAATTGGCCATTTTCCCTAGTTCGGGCCTGGCACAGAATTTATTGAACATCAGCGTGTTGTGGGTGGGAAGAGTCGATAACGTCCAGTTGCTCCCACATTGATCGATAGTTTTAGCTGTGCTTGAAATTTAAGAGGACTTTGTGTTTGCTTTGCCAGGCTCTTAAAGTTGCTTGGGTTGCCGTGGAAATCTTGAGATTTATTGCACTTGCAGCTGAAGTTGATGGCAGCAGCTCAGGAGCAACAAATCTAGCGGGCCGTATAAATCAAGTATACGCAATCTGCATTACTCATACGCCCTGTGGCTTAAGCCAAAACAAAAACCAAAACCAAAGGCAGCGCCAGCGGCAAAGGGATAAAAATCAATAGATGCTTTGCATGCGCCGTCGTCTTGCCATCTTTTCACATCCTGCGGCTGCTTTTCGCATTTCCACATGTCCTTTTTGTATTTTTTTTTCCCTACTTTTTCTGCCTTTTCCACTTTGCGGCTGATGCTGTTGCCTGTCATTGCATTTAGTTGCTATTTCCCTGTGTGTGTAGTTTTGCCTTTACAATATTTCAACGTTGTTATGCACTTCACACAAGTGGAAGACACTTGGGTCTGCTGTTGTTGCTGTTGTTGCTGTTGCCGATGTTCCTGCTGCTTATATTGTCACAATATTTTCGCTTTTCAATGCGCCGCTCGAAAGCACAAGTGAAATATTTGCCCATGTGGCATTTTAGTTTGGCAAGGAGCCCTCTTGCATTTTCTCCGTGCCTTATTTCTATGGCTTTTCGTGCGCCATCCCATTGTGTTGAAATCGGCAGAAACGGAACTACTTTTGATTTATTCAGCCGCTCATCGATCGCTTTAAGGATTTGATTCTCTAAAAGAGCCTGCCTGTGCGAAGTAAATCTCATCATTTGCTATGCACTGTCGTCGTTTATTTCCCTCCGCCTGCCATGTAATTTTCACATTTTTACTCATCAACGCCAACGTCATCTCCATGGGATGGCTTTGGCTTGCCCCGAGGTTTTCTCCGCCTCCCCCGCCTCCTCCTCTTCCTCCAGTTGCCCATTGTGTGGGCGTGGCATGCCGGCAACAGCGGTAGCTGTAGCAGCAACAATAACCACGGCTGCAACACAGCAGATGCTGCCTGCAACTGCGGCTTTTGTGTGTGAAGGAAGTAGGTTAGTGGCTCACTCGTCAGCCAAATGAATGATGGAGTAACTGCGGCAAACTGTGGCTGAAAAGTTCCCATTCTCCACGTCTCATTTTTTTTTGTTATCCCTGGCAATTGTATGGTTAATTGAAATAAGAGATAGGTATACAAGTAAAAAAAAAAAAGTGAAAGCCCAAAAGGGGGCAGCCCCTTTGGCTCAGGTGTGGTCATTAAATGGGGCATGTGTGCGCACTATTTATAAGTACTAACCTGGTTTTGGTGGGCTGCTCTAGCTCCGGATCCTGCGACTCCTCGACTTTGGTGTGATTCAAACGCGTGGTGTTTGAATACTCCATGGATTGCCGGCCCTCCAAGGGGCTGGCTGTTTTTCCGAGCTGTCACTAAAATACATTTAAGCAGCTGCACCCCCAATTCCAGGCCAAACAAATATGATTGCAAGCCTTCGCAGTGAAAGTATCTCAATCGCCGTTTTCTGCGCTGCGCCTAAAAGATGCCACTTAATTTTTCACTTTCACTGCATTACGTTAGTTTGTGTGTGTGTGTGTGTGTGTGGGTGGATTTAGTTTTTAAAGCTTTTGGGTTTTCTTTTCATTTATATTTGTTTCACGCTTGTACTCGGCTCGGCCGGATTTATTGAATGTCTTTCTTGTCCAGGGGGAGTCCTGTGCGGAAATGCTCTTGCCGTTTGGCTGGCTGCCGTCATAACTGGCGTGGAATACTGTAAATCGGCTTTTGGCCACTGCAGTTTTGCCGTTTTCCGTTTTAGCCCGTGCGGAGACCGAGCGACCAGCCTCTGGGCCCGAAAAGCGCCGACGACTACGACTACGACTGCGACAGCGACAGCGACAGGACGACGGCGACAACAAAATGCAGCAAAAAAACTTTTTAAAGCTGCAGCAGCAACGGCCACAGCAAAGGCAACAACAATAAGGACCTGCCTGCCACAGGATGTGAGGCAAGAGCGAGCCAGCAAAACAATCACATGGCTCGGTGCAAGCTTGCCGCAGCAACAACATTCTGGCCCGAATAAAGCGTTGCCGCAAAAACATAAACAGAGAGCCTCTTGCCGGTGAGAGCCGGGCCAAGAGAGAGTGCGGAGAAAGTCTGAGAAAGCACACGCATTTCTATAATATTACCAACTAATTTTAAAAAGTTTTAAATATAACTTGACATTTAAAACAATTTAACTTATATATATGGAACGAATTATAAACCGGGATAAAAGGTATGTTTCCTAAAGTACAGTTAGAGTGGAAAAAAGAGACGGAGAGAAACTCCCATGCTTAAAATTCTTTAATAAATATAAATAATATTTAAACCAGTAAATAAAAATATAGAAAACAGGTATTTTTTTAATAGATTTTAAAAAAGTGTGGAAAGAGTTTAAGTATAAACATTTTGTTTCAATAATCAAGAGCTATATAAACATTAAACTATTAAAAAAAGCAATCCAATTCATCAGATCCTTTTAAAACCATAAACTATAGATCAAAGTTCTATTTAGAGCTTTTTCAAGTACCGGAATCCAATTTTAGATAAAGTAAAGTATTATAACAAAATAAATTTGTATCTTTATTTTAAACAATTTTAAAGAAAATATTAAAAAAAAGAGCATTTTTAAATATAATAAATACTACTAGTTATTTTCCATAATAATAAAGCCAAGAAAATAAATTGTAAACTATTTTACTGAGAATATTAAAGGTCCTCTTAAAAGTCAGAATAGATACAAAATCAATAACTATATAAGTAAAGAGATTGCATTATGAATATAAAATTATTAAGCAGAAGCAATAATTGGTTCTCTTTTCTCGCAGCGAATTTCTCACGCCGGCGCTCTCTTCTCGAGTCGCAAAGTTTGCTTTACCCACGCGAGCTGCACAAAATCGCGTGCACGAAATGGAAACCAGGTCAGGGCCGCCTCGCTCGCGTTACCCGACCCGCTGCGCTCCTGCCCATCGCCACCCACTCCGGCGGAAAGCTTTCGTCTTGTTTTGCTTCTCAGTGAATAAGCTCTATAGATTAAAGCTCGCAACTGCATAAGTACACAATACCTTTGATTAATTAGTAACAAATATATTTCTGTATAAATACGATCCTAAGGGTTATCGAACTTAAAATGTACGATAAAATCGAGCACCCGCACTAAACATCGACGGAAAATCATAAGTAGAGAACAGTGAGACACAGAAACATAAATTCTAGGCAGGACAGTTGCACTAGCTTGCCATTTCGGTTCGGTTTTCGGTTAGGCTCAGTTAGACAAAGATAACACAAGTAGTAATTACAATTAGTTGGCAAAACGAAGGTTTCTCAAGGCACATTTTGGCTTGGCATCTGATGATTTTGCTCCTACGCTTCAGCGCCTCATTTTCTCTAGAATGGGCACCACCATGTCGAACTTGGGTCGCTTGCCGGGATCCTCGTTCATGCAAATTCCAATCAGTTTGGCCATGTGCGACGAGGTGCCAGGCGGAATTTTGACCCGCAGTCCCTCCAACGCAATCTTCATGCCGCACTCCATGGGCGACCACTCGGCGAAGGGCACTTCGCGCGTGGTCAGCTCCCAAATGAGTATGGCAAAGCTCCACATGTCGCAGGCCTCCCAGTTTCGATCCGCCTGCTTGCGCTGCAGTGCCTCCGGCGACATCCAGGCCGGCTGGTAGATGCGTCCCTTCTCCTGGAACGAGAATTTGGCATCGCCCATGTTAATCCTCGCCGTCAGATCCTCGTCGATCATCACGTGATGGCTGTTCAGGTGGTACGTGGGTATGATGCGCTCCAGCGAGTGCAGGAAGGCCATTCCCCGGGCCACGTCCAAGGCAAAGCTAACCGCCTGGCTGGTGTCGACCACCACACCAGTGGCTCCATGGAGCAGACTGAACAGTGACGAACGTGGCATGAACTATGAAGGAATGATTTAGTTAGTTTGTTTCTACATTGATCACAGAAGTTCATTAAGTTCAACTCACCTGACTAATGGTCACCAGATTAGGCGGCGAATTGCAGGCCCCTATGATAGGCAAAATGTTGGGATGCGAGAAGATGCGCAGCTTGGGGAACTCCTCGTTGAAGTCCCTCGACATACGGGGCGTGCACTGACGCACGGCTAGGATCTTGGCCACCACATCGTTCTTTTGCCAGCGTCCCCGCCAGGTTTCTCCCGATGGCGTGACCGAGAGCTTGGTGTGCAGGTCCAAGTCTCCCATGCTGATGCCCTTAAAGCGGGACAGGGTGGCGTCCCTGGACCTCGTCTTCATGCCCGGCCAGCTCTGCTCCTTGAAGCTGATCACCTTCACCTCCCGGCCGCTCTTCTCCACCAGATCCTGCAGCCTCTTGGCCAAACTGGGCTTGGCCTTTTCGATGGGCGTGTGGTCGTCCTTGTTAGCGATTCCCACCTGGGCCCCCGCGTTCAGAAGATCCTCGCAGATCATGTCGTAGCCCCAGAAGCAGGCGTAGTGTAGGGGTGTATTCCCATGCTCGTTCACCGCGTTTACATCGCTGCGCTCCTTTATCAACTGTAGTGGGAGATTTATGTAACTAAAGTAAGATAGCTGGTTGGCATCTATGTTATTTTACCATTTGGACCACATCGCGATGGCCGTGAGCTGCAGCCAAATGGAGTGGGATGTCGTCGCCCATGTTCGTGGCATTCACACGAGCTCCACGCTGCAGCAAAGTCTCCACCAGCTTGGCGTGTCCCTCCTTGGCCACCCAGTGCAATGGACTGAAGCCATGGTCGTCTCTGAAATAAAGAAATTATATAAACATATTTTATTTGGAATAATGTCTTTACATGTTCTTAGAAACAGAAAGTCGGATATTGAAAGTAATCTTTCTAAAAGATTAAGCCGGTAGCATTAAATTTGTAACATAATTTAAAAGAAATATATTTATCTAACGAAATAAAAAACATCTTGAATTTCATTTAACAAATAGAAAAATATAAAAAAATTTACATTTTGCTGGTATATTTAAAATTTAAGTTTTGTTTTGATAGATCACAAAGGATAAGAAACAATTTCTCTTTCCTGGGAAGCCAAATAGAACGGAGCGTAGAATTAAATCAAATTGAATAGGCAATATTTGTGTGGGAAGCGGGTTTTATGCTCGCGATATGCACACATGCAAATATATACATATATACATATATATATTTTTGATTCGTCTGTTTACACAACACAAGAATAAATCATGACGTCACTGAGACTCGAAAGACCCTCAAAATGTTGGGCGTATTAAATGCGATGACTAAATGCCACTTCCTGAGAAGGAAAGTCGCCCCTTAAGGTGATTCCTTTCGAAATACCACTTTCTAAACAATTAGACAGTGGCCGAGTGGTTAGTTAGTTAGTTGTTTTAGTTTTACCCCAAATTGTTGTCGTTCTCCGTTTCATCCAACCACAGGCGCACTTGAATCGAGTTGCCCTCGCGGCACCAGTGGAATATATCCTCCATTTGTATGCCTCACGCCTTTATTCCGCTCTCAATCACTGTTTAAAAAGGTTTTTCAACCTAAATTACATCTATAAACGGCTAAAAACTGTTAAAATGCGACAGTTGGGATAAATTTCTAATTAAAAAAATTCAGTAGAGTGACCGTTTGAAATATCAGCCAACGACTCGCGTTGCCAACTGCTTTAAAATATCGATATATGTACTATCGATGTTACGCGTGAAAAGTGTGAATGTCAAAAGAAGAAAGAAGAAAAAGGAATACAACGTGCACCGCTCAGAATTTATTTAAAAACATTCGTATTTAGCTTTATCTATTCGTCTTAATAAAAGATTTAAAAGGCGGAAAATGAAGCTCAGCACCTATAACTTCCTTACCTCAATGGCCATCAAAGGTGTGAAAGTGGGTTTTCCCTTAAAACTGACGGTGAGTTCTTTAGTCTTATGTGCCTGCTATTGATTGTTTCATGGAAATTATGGTTAATATATTTACAAATTTCATCCAGATAACCAAAAAGGACGTGGTGGAAAGTGAGTTTAATCCTACATTTGTGGAGCGAATTCTTCCCAAATTAGATTGGTCAGCGGTTTATGGAGCTGCCCAGGTGGTGAGTATTTGGATTCTACTTGGTGGAACAGTGGCTGCTGGAGAGTTCCCAAAAATAGTTTTCACATTTTTTTATGAAGTAAAAACTCTGAAACAGTAGCAGTAGTTTCTATATGAGTCTACTCAGTTAAATGGAAAATATTTTACAGTTGTCGAAAAATTCAGAAAAACTACTGCCTCAAAAAGCTTTTTCGAAGTTCGTTTTGAATACATGTTTTTTCTTTAGCCCTTAACGTACAATTTCTAAAATGTTGAAGAACGGAAATTTGTATTTTTATTATGTATTAAATTAGTCAAAATTTTCTTAAAAACACTTATTTAATTATTAATTATTATTTAGTTTTTCATGACCTCTTCATGGGGAAAATTTGTAGTCAAACAATTTGTGCCATAAGTGGCAGTGTTGTTTTTTCCTAATTCTTTTTAAAAACTCATTGTTAAATTCTTTTTCCAGGCGGAACTCACAGAAGACATACCCGCCGTACAGCCGGAGAACATTGGTGAGAACGAGGTACTCCTCCAGAAGCTCCACCATCTGCTCTTCGAGATCGACGTGCTGGAGGGCCAACTGGAGTGCCCGGAAACAGGACGGGTTTTCCCCATCACCGATGGCATACCCAACATGCTCCTCAACGAGGACGAGGTCTAGATGCCATGATGTCCATTCATGTTTTTCTGTAGCATAATCCCCACTCCAGAAACGCATTAATTTTAAGTAAGTTTGTTAGTTTTAAAGTCTGTTTATTTATGAGTGACTAAAAAATAATTGGAGCTTGGATGGAATGTGTTTTTTTTTCGGGTGTTGAGATCTACATTCTCGTTGAGTGGAAGGGACTTGGGGAAGAGCAAAAACACTTTACGACACATACAAATGGTAAGTCTAAACTTCTGGAGGGTGGTGCTTGGCTAGTTACTAAGTTTCATCTCCGTTTCTTTGGCACTCTGGGGGAGATTCGAGATTGGGCACTCCCGCCTAGTTGCACTTGATGTTGGGGCTCTTGTTGCTGCCTTGGGCGTAGATGCTGCCCTTGGCCAATCCGGACTGGGCTCCTTTGCAGAGTTCCGAATTTCCGCCCCTGGGCTTGTAGCTCCGATCTGCCAAGAGACTGGCGTCTGGTCCTTGGGTGGCCTGCTTTTGGAGCAGCTTTGTGTTGGGTCCATTCCAGGTGACATAGTCGGCTCTGTTAAAATAATATTAAAGGTAAAACGAGAAGAATCTTGAAAAACATGTTCTATATTTTGTGTAATTCATTTGAAAAAAAAATAGTAATATGAATCTATTGAAAAAATGTTAAATTTGATTTAGAAACTGAGTCCAAAATATAAAGATAATTTATTTTAAAGATTTAAACTGTAAAAACAATATAATTATCTTTTCTTTTCCTACAAATATGTAGTCTTAAGTTAAATGGAAACGTTTTAAAACATATTTTCGAAATAATTTATGTTTTGACTAAGCTGTTTTTTAAAAAGTTTTGCCACAGTTAATTTTAGTACTTACAGCAAAAGATTTTCATCAGCACCCTTGCTCAGCTGCGAATTGGGTCCCATACTGGCCATTCGTTCGATGATGGACTGAAATTCTGCCGATTCGGAATTGTGGGAGTTGCCAAAGACTGAGGAGTGCTGGCGATGTCTGTTGGGATAAGTAAATCGTTGATATTACACTTGATTAAACTCAAAGAGTATATAAGCTTTAGGCATGCCAAAAAAAAAATAGAGTAAACAGGATAAAATGAATAGCTCACAACTGGATTCCCTGCTATAATTCATGCTAAATCCTGGAAAAACACATGCGCAAACGACTGAATCTGATGCTACTTAGCGAAACGGTAACGGAAACGGTTTAAGTTAACGGTTTAACGGGTTTAGCGGGCGGGCATACTTCAGTGAATCGGTTTTGGTGCGAGCGCGACTTTCGAATGCTGGCCTCCTCGCGATGGATGAGGAGTTGGACTGGGCCGACGAGGCCAGCGATGAGGACGTCATTGATGCGGAGTAGGAGGAGTAGGAGCTAGCGTTCGAGGAGCCATGCAGGTAGCCATCGATGCTGTAGTTGTTAGTATCGCCGTAGTGGCCATAGTGGTTATAGCCGCTCTTGGCCAGGATGCTCTTGGTGGTCATTCGCTCGTAGCTTTTCTGCCCGATGCGGGGTGATTGTGCGGGTGAGGCATATGAATGCGATGAGGATGCACTCGATATGGATGACAGATGCGTCTCCAGCTTCTCCTCCATTGTGGGCGTGGGCGTGGGCGTGGCCTGGGCCAAAATGATCTGGGTGGTGAACGTCGATGGTGTGGTGACATTGATCGATGGCAGAATGTGTCGCTTATGCAGTGGCTTCGTTTTGGATGCGGATGCGGATGAGGTGGCGGGCTCCACCACGGTGAGCAGGCTGGATGATCGAGTGGCGCAAAGCAAGCGGACAGTGTGGTTTTCGGTTTTTTGTTTTTGGTTCGGGGTTTTAGTCAGAGGCGGCAACAAAAGTTCACAGAGAAAATAGGCAGTCGATTAACAAACGGATAAAGCAGCGGGCCAAAGAGAGAAACAACATGGTTTGAGTGGGTGGGAAAAGCAGTTGGCAACCACGACCTTGGCTTTCGAGTGGGGTGGGGTGGGGTGGGGTAAAGGTAAAGTCAAGGCTACCTGTCTCCGGCGACGCCATCCACCTGTTCAGTTCCCGTGGTCTTGGTCAGCTCCAGGTGTTTGGGATTCGAAGCGGTCTGCTTCTGGGCCCTCTGCTCATCCTCGTCCTGCACGATCTGCAGGATCTGGGTGGCCCGATCCTCGGCATAGCTCACCGACTCCAAGGCCATCAGTATTATGCGCTCGGCAATTTGTGGATACTTCTCCTTGAGCAAAGATTGCACTGAAAGTAACCAAATTATAGTTGGGCAAGACTGAAACCCTTCGATTCCACTCACTTTTGGTCTTCTCCTCCTCAGTGTATTCCTTGGGCCTCAGCGGAATGTGAACAGTACCCTGATCTCCGCCTGCCTGCTGATCTTGATTCAAGTCCGGCGGACGATTGTTCGGTCTATGTGGCTGCTGCATCTCCCGCTTTGTGTAGCCCAAGGAAATCAACTTCTCCGAGGCAAACTGCACATTGTTGTCCGCATTGGCCAGGATGTCCAGGAGCAGCTCCTCATCCGCCTTGGGAAATATGTTCTTCATATATCTGTGGGGAAAGTGGGATGGGTTTTGTTAGTTTTGGGCAATAAGTGTAGTCTATAAAAATAAATTATAATATTATTAATATTTAGCTTACAACATTTAGAGTCTGAATAATTGTTGTATCTAAAAGTTACCTTGAGTTTTGAAAAGAGTGTTCTTCGAAAAATACTTGTGTATAGTTAAAATTACACATCAAATTATTTGGCATCAACAAGCTTACAAGATACTCGTTTGTCCTTAGACAAATAACCGTCTAGAATTCCTTTTAGTAAATCATAAGGTGATTAATATTTAATTAGGAACCACATAACTTTGTTGAATAATAAACTTGAAACCATTCTTAAGTACTCTTTAGGAGTCAATAGGAAATGTTGAAGGTATAAATTTGTTATTGGTTTCCTTATTTAACGGAAATTTTAACGGCAAATAAGTAAGCACCTTGCTCCTTTCAGCTCTAATTAAATTAAAAAATTTGCTTTGAAATATATACACCTAAAAAGAATAGTTTTTTTTATCCGTCGAGCTGAAACATATTCCCTACTAAACGGACATCTGGCGGACAACATTATCTTTCCTTAATGGACAACTCTCCTTTAAGCGGAAAACTTTGCGGACAACAATGCAAGATAAATGAAATTTCTACTCTATTTAATATCCCTCTAATTTAAAACCCCGTCGAACCTCAGTTTCATCTTGGGCGACGAGTGTGGTCTGGGTGAGCTGCGCCACAGGGGAGATCCGTGCAGAGCTGGCGGAACAGCTGATCCCGGGGGAAGGGTCACCTGGTGGCCAGGTGGACCACCAAGACCACCAGGACCACTAGGACCACCGCTCTGCACGCTCACGAGACTACCGAAGCGTCCGCCGGGCAAGGGACTGGCCGTGCGCGAGGTGCGCCGACTAGCCACCGTGTCCGGACGACGCGCCGGTGGGGTCATGTAGAAGGCGGAGCTGCTGTGGAAGAGGTGCCGCTGCGAGGGCGGCGTCACGAAGGGACCCGGCATGGTCACCGGGTGCTTCTCCACCTGCAGGGCACTGATGACGACGGCCTCGCTGTTATAGTAGCTGTGGGTTCGTGGGTTCGTGGGTTAGTAAGCGTGGGATTAGTGGCAAGTGCAGTAAGCGGCGTTAGGCAGCGTGTGAGAAGTAAGAGATGTAAGTACGCAGATTAGTGGGGATTAGCACACTTGGCACGGAAGCTTGGCCTAAAAACTACCACCCATGGCACTTACCGTTTGAGCAGCAGGCGTATATGATTCTCGCCAGCGGTGGGGAACATGTTCTGGATCTTGGTCACCACGGCATCCGTTTCCGCTTGGGTGGTGAACGAGGTCTCCTGGATGGTGGAGCGCCGCGAGAGATTCGGACCCAGGCGAGCTCGTTGAAAGGGTAGGGGTGAAGACATTTCCTGTGGGTTAAGTAGATAAGTCATAAGTGAGCTTATTACATTTTTCATTCATTAAAATAATAATAATACATGTCACTAAATAATGTTAGAAATTAAAAGTAAACCATTTTAATCTTATAAATTACTGATTTTTGAAAGCATAATTTGGCAATAGAAGATAGACAACCCAACCTTTAAAAACTAAATCATTGCCAAATGTTGAGTACTTAAAAAAAAGATTATATTACTTACAGATGTAATATCTGTCATATTGTTTTGTAAATGCTTTTAAATCACTTATTCATTAGGTGACTAATAAATAATGATAATTGTAATTGGTCGAAGCAGAATTGTAACTACTCTTGTTTCTTACAATCGCTAGAAATTTCTGAGGTACATTAAACAAAGAATTTCACCATTTTTGACAGTTTAACTGAAGTTCTTTAGTGCTCTACTTTTTTTTTAACACTCCTACACCAGATTTCAGATTATAAGCCTTTTGAATGACAATTATATTGTTAAAATTATCTTTCGAAAACTCACCAAGTGTCCCCTGGAGGAGGCCGACAATAATGGACTGGTCGAGACGTTGTGCAGCGTGGGCTGCTGGCGCTCTTGGAAAGCTCGAATCGCGGTCAAATTGTTGCTGGGATGGACGTGGTACGGCGAGCTGTTGTGCGACGTCTGCGGCGGCTGACTGACCAACTGCTGCAAAGTGCCAGAGTGCCAGGGTTTGGCCAGGTTGCAGGCCAAATAGAAAATCAATAAAACGCAAATAACTTGGGGGAAGGGTAAATGGGGAGATGGAGGTTACCTGCAAGGCTATCGACTCCGTGGAGCAGCGTTCGTTCTGCAGCTGCCTGTAACTGCGTCCGCGCGGATCCTCCAGCTGCATGGCCTTCGTCAGATAGTTTATGTAATAGCTGGAAAGGGAATCGAGTGGAAGATGAGCTTGCCGCCAATCAAAGGCCATCAAATGACCTCCCACCCAGGGTCAATCAAAAGCTCCGGGATTCAGGCCAAGGGTGGATTCCCAAAGCCGGCCGGTTGGTGGTGGTTTGGATTGCGATTCAGATTCGGATCCCGGCCACATGTTGATGGTCCTTGGGGGAAGCGGACAGGTAAAGGGTAATGGGTAATGGGTAATGGTTAATAGGAATGGGTAAAAGGGATCCCCCCGCAAAGCGGAGGCACGTGCCAAGTAGCTGCCAAAAGGCGGTCCCAGAGTCGTCATTTTCATCTCCGTTTGGCAGGCCATCGTGGCTCTGATTTGGAAATGGAATGGGTGGTGGCAGATGTGGATGTGGAGAACTCGTCTCCGACTGAGTGGCCTCTTGAATTAACGTATGACAGTCGTTGGGCTTGTTGCTTAATTGCACAGGGCCTTTTGAAAAATGGGAATGGGTTGTTTAGCAGAGGCTAAGTAGAAGTTAAAGACCCCGCTGGCATCCGACCACGCGGAAGTGACACAATTTATGTTATGTCGCTGAAATGAGGCCAATTGGAGCGGTTAAAGAGCCCTCAGTAGTCCATGGGGAAATGGGCCTGTCACATGAGGACTTTGGAGTTTAAAACATGCGGCATATTTAGCTTTGTACAACCGTTGAATTAGGTTATATTTAAATATTACTGAAGTCATAAATACTTATTGGGTTCTTGATGGATTTTTTTGAATTAAATAAACGAAACAAAGATTAGCATTGAAATAAAAAGGGTATACTGACTGGAACTGATTTCAGCAAATATAAAAAAAAGAGATTATGTTTTATATTGATTGTACGTACATTAATAAACATTTTCAAAGAATTTTAACCGAAGAGATTACTGTGCCAACTCCGGTCAAAATGGTTTATCTAACATCTTACATTTTAAAAGTGTTTTAGAGGGGCACATTGAGCTACTAAGTGTTTGTTTCAAGATTGCTAAACAAATAAAGAAATATTCTGTTTATATGCCAACATTTTAAAATTTAATGTATATAATTCTTAATTAATATTTTTCAAATTTCTTTTAAATACTTTGTGTATATTAATTTATGCTGTTAGTTATTTTTAAGAAAAAAACTTCTTATAATAGACCTTACTCTTTTAGTTCATTAGAGTATGAATATAAGGAGTGTGTTTAAGAACTAACTTTCCTAAGCTATCGTTTCCTAAACCTTCAGTTTACTGGGCACCCACCACCCACTTGGCATTTTAAAGTTGCCGTGGCAATCAGTAACGGACTGAAGCACCCAAGTCACCCGCCACCCAATGTCCTTCACCCACCAGCCACCCACCACCCACAGAAAGTGCCACCCAAGGCAACGGTGGCACGCAAATTTATCAGCCGCCTCCCGGGGCAACCTATCAACCTATCAAATCCCCACCACATCTCTCAGTACAGTTCGGTTTGCTTTTCGTGACATTGTGGTTAATATTAATGCATTAATGCATGCATAAAAATTTTTATGACATCGGGCTATATGCACTCGCTGCTCACCAATTTCCAGTTGTCTGATCGTATTTGCAGTCCCAGCCGGGCGGCATTTTCTGATAGCCACCGGATTCGCTCATTTTCACCGCTCAGATACAGATACAAGATACAAAAACACAGATACAAATACAAATACGGCTGCACTTGCAGATACGAGATACGAGATACACGGCACGACTTGTGTTTTAATTTCACTGAATGTTTATGGACATTTAAAGTCGCATTCGCAGCTTGTTTGCCGACTGTCTGCAACCCCGAAAAAGTTGGCAGCCAGGACGGGAGTGCCCTTGCCACTTAGCCCGAGCTTTGTAGTTGGACTCAGATTGGTATATTCAGGCTATATGCACGGGGGTTGTAACCACCCTCGCCAGGCAGCAGAGCTATTTTTGTTTACGCGGCACTGCCAGCCGGGAAAAAGGACCACAACACACACGATGTGGCGTGCCTTCAGTGGGCGAGTGGGTTGAAAGGGACCAACTACCCGGAAAGGAACACACAATTTTGAGGGAAAAATCCCGCAGACGTAGCTATATAGACAACCTCGCGAGCCAAGCTTTGAGCGTCAACTGAGCAAATCACGGTCGGGTGTTGAAGCTCAAGCTCCTTAGATGCTGCGCCAAAGCCCAAAACCCGTTATAAAAGCCTTTATCCAGTGTTGGAATTTACCCATCAAAAGCTCTGGCCAAACTTTGACTTAGCTTTCAAGCCAACTTGAGTTCAGTCACACAATTCAAATTTGACTTGCTAACCGACCCCCTTTAAATTATATCTTATTTATCCGCTTTTGATTTAGTGGTTATATAACACACCAGCGAAATGGCGGACGTTTTGGCGCGCATAACGCGCATTTCGGATAACTATCTCAAGGAAATGGAGGAGGCACCGGAGCCGCAAGGACCTCCCAAGCTGACCAAGGCCCTGAAGAAGGCCGCCAAGAAGGAGGCCAAGCTGCAGGCCAAGTTCGAGGAGAAGCGTCTGATTATGCGGGTGGGTGCAGGTTTTCAAATACTATACTATACTATAATGCAAAGGAGACTACTATATAGTCTTTTCATTCCGAAAATCTATCGCTAAAAGAAAATTATGTACACGATGTAAATTATGTAAATGTATCTTCGATTTTACTCTCGAATTAATTAATTTGTACTGTGATTAAAATCAATTAACTCAATGATTTTGCTTTTTTTTAGTAAAGAGTAAACTAAGCTGAAGCCTTTTTGTGCCCTTTTTAGGATGCCCTGATGCGGGAACTGGAGATGGGCAAGCGCATGGAGGAGAAGGGCAACGAGGAGTGGCACGAGATGTGCCGCGAGATCAAGATCAGGGAGCTGAACGAGGAGATGGTGGCGTGGGGCGATCGGGCAGAGCGGAACATCCTGGCCAAGAACGACCACATCAAGATGCTGCTGGATGACATGGCGCAGACGCAGGACCAGCACGTGCGCAGCTTCAGCAAGACGGTGGAGCTGATCGACCACATCCGGGACTGCTTCCACGTGATGCTGGGCGGGGTGCGGAACATGTACGCCCAGCAGGCGGACGAGATGCTGCGTGACTACTACGAGGAGGTGCGCCGGCGCACCGAGGAGCTCGAGGCGATGCATACGCACTCGGACAACATCATACACGCCACGAACATCACCACCCGGGACCAGATCAAGGAGGACTACACCATCTATTTGGAGCAGCGCGACGATCGCGTCAACACCGAGATTGAGAACAGGTTCAAGATCCGCGACCAGATCGTCTGCCGCATGACGCACATGCAGCAGCAGCTCAACGACTTCGTGGAGTCGCTACGGAGCACCGAACTGGATGCTCACAAGTACGAGAAGATCCGCTGGCTGACGGAGCGCCAGGAGGCCTTTATGGAGGAGTCGCGCAAACTAAACGCCGAGGAGTCCAAGTACATTAACATGCAGGCCGAGCTCCAGCGCGAAATGCTTCGCATGGATATCGAGAACAACTCTACGCTCAACGATCTCCGCCTGGAGTTCCAGTACTTCACCAACGTGCGCAAGAAGATCGAGCTCAACCAGGAGATGGACCGGAATATCACGCATGAGAAGCTGCGCATCCTCACCGGCGAGTGCTACGAGTTGACCAAGGTAAGATTATATGTCTACGGTTATGAAAAAACACGCACTTTTGTTTTAAAAATTAAAATAAATTTCTCTTGTCTTTGAAAATGTTTGAAAAACTTCGTTAAAGCGAATAAGCTTATTATAGCAATGTTTGCTATTTAAAATAGTTAAAAATTGTTAAGTAAATTAAATTGAATTACGAATGAATTTAAGTGACAATTCAATACTGTAATAAGCATACATTCGTCATAACTTAAATAATAAAGAAAAAAATTGTTAAGTAAATAATTGGATGACGAATTAATTTAAGCGACAATTCAATACTCTAATAAGCTTACATTAGTATATAATTGATAAAAATAACTTAAATAATAAAGAGAAAAAATTTGAAGAAAAATAAATTGGATTACGAATTAATTTAAGAGTCAATTCAATACTGTAATAAGCATACATTCGTATGTAATTGATTAAATTAATTTAAATAATATTTACTTATTGTTTTGTTTTGTTTTTTTTTATTTTTAAAGGCATTTTTCCGATTGATATTAAGACCAATTTTTTTAAAGAATTGAATTTTGTTTTATAAAAGTCAAATAAACAAAACAAAACATTTTAATTAAATGTTTTTCTAAAACTTTGAAGCATATTTGTAATAGTTAAAAATATAATACTTACTCCAGGAAATGGAGAAGCATGTGAAGAGTGGTGAGTTGCTTCTGGCCCTGTCGATCACCTGCAGGAAACTGCAGACGGAGGCGGAGAAGGTAATCCTGGGCGGCGAGGTGTTCGACGATACCGAGCTGCAGGAGGAGGAGAACTTCAAGCTGCAGACCCTCAACCTTAAGGATCACGTGGACATGACCGAGGAGGAGCTGGTGGAGCTGAACAAGAGCATGAAGAACTTCTGGCGTCGCCAGGCGGTGGCCGAGGCCCAGAACTTGCTGATGCTCGAGGAGAAGCGTCGCCTCACAGAGGACAACCAACGCCTGATCGACTTCCTCAAGTCCAAGACGGTCACCGAGGATCCCGAGGAGCTGCGCACCGCCATGCATGTGTCCTCGCCGACTCAGCCGATGCCACCCAAGGTGTTCGACTCCAAGTGCCATGAATCGAAAGCCAGAAAAGTCCTAAAGTCGCCGACGGCACACAAGGAAGCCAAATTTGAGTCGGAAGCCGTTTTGAAAGATGTGATCTTGGATTATTCTTAAATTGTTCAATCTAACTTTCGTTTAAGGGTTAAGAGATACAAATATTCTTTTAAAGTGACATTTAATAGATTAATTATTGTAAAATTGGGTGAGGCATGCAAATTTAGAAAGCTTCATAAATATGTGCCAATATGTAATAGGTAAGTCTCCAATATTGTTTGCCAAATATCCCAAAAAAGTTATATATCCAAACTTTGTTTATAATAGTGTATACTTTTCTTTTTAATAATTACGTATTTGCTGAACACATAACAAGGATATCTTTAAGTGCCAAAAGCAACAAATTGTAAGTTTTACGGATAGTTTTTTTTTTCTAAAAAGAATTTTAGACGTCCCTTTACTTATAATAAATGTGCAAACTGCAAGTCTTTACTCTACAATATATTGCTGATTTACTAAAAGAATGTCATAACTGTAGCCATATTTTTTGTTAATTAGATTTTTAGTTTAACAAATCTCAAAGTAATCTTAAAGTTTTTAAAACGTACACAGGCAAATCATTCTGAGTTATGACAGTCTTCTAGGAAACTAGGAATATGTTTTAAGTGCAACACGAGGATATGTAACAAACTATAAATCAGCACCAGCGCAAATCATACTGTTGCGAATATCAATATTTCTTGCAGTGTAAAGTAACATAGTGCTTTGGTCCGGCAAAATGCAGAGGCGTCTCCAGCATATGGCAATGGGTGAGCTTGGCTCTCTAATTCAAATCCACAAATCATCTTTCGTTTAGATAAAAGTCAGGGGCTTGATGTTGAGTTTCTCGGCCAGGTTGGCGCAGGTCTTCAGCTGATTCTCCAGATATTGGATACCACCGGCAGCGTCGACATTAGCCATTCCATTTCGCTCCTTGTCGCCAGCCAAAAGCACGGGATTGCTGGGATCGGTCTGTCGAAGAATCAGGCAAGTTAATAAAAACATAGAAATAGGTGATTGTTTAATAAAAAAATATTATTATAAATACGAAAAAATAAGATAAGATAAAATGTCTTTTCTTCATATGATGGGAAAATTTTACATTTCTAAATATTAAAGTTGGTTTTTAGAAACGAAATGAAGAATCAAATTCGGATATATCCTTACCGGAGTAGTGCCCCTCAGGCGCGAGTTGAAGTCAGTCATGCGCTCCTCGAAGTTGGGGGCAAAGCAGTTGGGATCCACGGCGATGAAGACCTGGCCGAGATCGGCGGCCGAGTCGGCACCTGCGTGTGTCCACTTCCTGACCTTCGTGGAGTAGTTGGCGCCGGACATCACGCCCGACAGGATGTCCACCATGGCGCCCAGGCCGTAACCCTTGTAGCCGGAGGTCAGCTCGGATCCGCCCAGCGGCATCAGGCATCCGGTGTTGAAGCCCAGATCGGCATCGTTGGTCACTGCTCCCTCGGGATCCTGGGCCCAGCCATCGGGCAGGGGGGCACCCTTTCGACGCTGGATCTCGATCTTGCCCACGGCCACGGCGGTGGTGGCCATGTCCAGCAGGAACTGGTCGCCATTTGTGGCATTGGCGCCCAGGGACAGGGGATTGGTGCCCAGGGCGGCCTCCTTGGCGCGGGTGGGCGCCATCAGGGGCGAGGTGTTCGTCATGGACATGCCCACCAGACCCTGCTCCATGGCCCTGATGGCATACCAGCCGGCCATGCCGTAGTGGTTCGATCCCTTGGCGCACACCCAGCCCACGCCCACGTTCTTGGCCTTCTGGCAGGCCAGATCCATGCAGTAGTTGCCCACCACGGCGCCCAGGCCATTGAGGCCATCCACCCAGGCGGTGGCCGGGGTTTCCTTCAGCACCTTGGGCACAGCCCCTCCGTCCGTGGAGTTGATGGCCAGATCGTTGATGTACATCTCCAGGCGATTCATGCCGTGGCTAAAGTGACCCCGATGATCGGCGGCCACCAGCAGATCCGCCTGGGCCTCGGCATGAGCCTGGGGCACCTTCACGGCCTTGAAGCAGTCGATCATGAAGCGACGCGACTCGGCAACGGCCACCAATCTTGGGGCAGCGGACGACATGGTGCGGTTGGTGGTCGAAAGGTCTGAAAGAACTGAAAGAATTTAGAGCGGAACGTGTGCGTTCGGATACGCGGCGTATGAGCGACTGGAGGCGAAAGCCATATAAAATGGTCTGAGGCGACCGAAGCGGACTTCTAATTGTTCTGGCAATCTCTCACCCATACCAAAAAAAAACCCTAGGCGCTTGGAAACAACCCAAAGGGGCTCTTTATATGCTCTATCTGCTTTTGTTTATTTTATTCTTTTTGGCAAACCCGAAATTCTCGAAGCGAATATGCTTATCAGCATTATGTTTGGAGAGGTTTTGGCTGGTTTTTTTGAGGTGTTCTCTACCTGATAGTTCTGGTATATAATGGAATCGCAATCTCTCAAATTGTCTGGCGCGTGTAACTTGTTTATATTTCAATTTTTGTTTTCTTTTTTTTTTGGTTCTGCCTCTCTATGTTTTCTATTATAGGGGGCTCGCAAGTCTATATGCACGGTTTACTTATTCATTCGCTGCTTATTTATTATTTGTGTGCGAGTATTTCAAGTTATTTCCGCTGCGTGTGTGGGTTGAGTATCTGTGTGTGTGTGTCTGGTAATGACCTTGAACTTGTGGAAATTATTTCTTTACTTTGAAATTAATGCGTTGAAATGAATGGCAAGTGATCGAGTTCACAGAAAAGTGATGGTCAGGGCATTTCAATTACAGTTCATTTACTTGGTGAATGTTTGTTGTGGAGATGGGAAGGGGATTGGGCGTATTTGCACGTAATCCATATAATTTTGTTGACCTTACACAATGAAAGCGAGTGTGACAGATGGGCGACAACTAACACCCCAATTAAGTTGATGGGCTTGCGAGCATTATCTTATCGGAAGCCAGTCAGACCACTGAAAAAAATTGAATTGAATTGATGGAATGCTTGCTATTTCTCTAATAAATGTTGAACTTAACAAATGATTAAACAGAAATAACCGATTAAAACGGAACTGAAGTTTAAAGAATAATCCATGAAAAATTGAAATGAATAAATCATTTGTTTTTAAATTGTAAAATAAATCTTACTATTATTGCTTTAAAATAACAGTTCTTATATGATTTCAATTTTGAACCCTACGTTCCCTACGTTTGAAATAAATAAAACTTATATTTTACAAAAACAATCATAGCAAATTTAATCACGTTTTATAGTTTGTTCACTGTATTTTGAAAGAACATGAGTTCTCCTTCTTATTCATTGATTTCTAGAACATTTCAAAGTTTATTTCCTAACAAAACCTGACTCAAATTCGTTTTAACTGGCTTAAACGCGGACTTGTTTATATTTTAAATGATGAAATATAAATAACCAACGTCCCTTTTGCTGGTTTTAAAATCTTTTGGCAGCATTTTGAGAATTTCTCTTTTACCAGCCACCTTGTCCAATCAGGTTAAGCCTATAGCCCAAAACACATTTGTAGAGCTACGGGGGCCTGGGTCTGGCCCGTATAATCAATCTGGAGTAGACGAGTACGTCAAGTAATAATCATAAACAAGAACTGTTGGGTTAGGTAAACAAGTTTTATGACCGACTTGGTGCGCTCATTAACACCTTTTTTGAGTAATAGCAGAAAAATGATCGATCCGCGCTTTTGCAGCGGGTGTTAAACTGATAAAAAGGCAATTGAAATAAAACCAGTTCTTAAATTGTTATTTATTTGTACAACAAAAGAAGAGTAAGTGCTTAAAGAGCATTCAATGAGGCAATCAAAATGTGATTAGTAATAAATGCAAGGCAGACCGTCTGACGCCTCCATTCCCAGTTTCATTTCGATTCCTTTTATTGTTTTTGTAGTTAATTAAGAGCCAGTCCCCATTTTCTCTATAAAATCGCCACTTGTTCGACAGACCGTTTTTTTTGGCAAATGCTTGGTTGTCAAAAGAGAAACATTTGTTTTAATTATAAACGTCTAAAGCAATTCGTTAGCTCGGCGTGTGGGAGTCGTTATGAGAAAATTTAGCAAAAACCGGCTGAATTATTAAACAAGAAAGAAAGCAAACTTCGGCAAGCCGAAGTTCATATACCCTTGCAGCTATTGCATGAATTAAATACTTTTGAAAACATTTAAATTATGATTTACTTCAGTATATACTGAAAAACAGTGAAGCTATGATGATTTGCAGCTCAATTATTAGATAGTTATTTTATATATTTTTATTAGTTCTATGGGAGCTATATGATATAGACGTCCGATTTTGATAAAATTTAAACCATAATTCTGAAATAATTAAACATTGCCATATGTCGAAGAACTAAACAAAAAATTAAAAAACAGAAAAGTTATAATTTTTTTTCATTTATTTCTCCGATTGTTCCTATGGGAGCTATATTCTATTGTCGTCCGACTTTGATGAAATTTAAACCGTAAATCGAAAATATTTAACCATTACTAAATGTCGAAGAACTAAACAAAACATTAAAAAACAGAAAAGTTATAATTTTTTTTCATTTATTTTTCCGATTGTTCCTATGGGAGCTATATGCTATAGTCGTCCGATTTTGATGAAATTTAAATCGTAAATCGGAAATATTTAACCATTACTAAATGTCGAAGAACTAAACAAAAAATTAAAAAACAGCAAAGTTATAATTTTTTTTCCTTTATTTTTCCGATTGTTCATATGGGAGCTATATGCTATAGTCGTCCGATCCGGCTCGTTCCGACTTATATACTACCTGCAATAGAAAGACAACTTTTGGGAAAGTTTCATGCAGATAGCTTTAAAACTGAGAGACTAGTTTGCATATAAACGGACGGACAGACGGACAGACGGACGGACAGACGGACATGGCTAGATCGACTCGCCTGATCAAGAATATATATACTTTATAGGGTCGGAGATGTCTCCTTCACTGCGTTGCAAACTTCTGACTGAAATTATAATACCCTCTGCAAGGGTATAAAAAGAGAAAAAAATGAGAGAGGGCAATAAAGAAAGAAATTTAAAAATGTTATGGTGTTCATAAATGCAAAATACTAGACTTTAAAGTTAATCTTTGAACACAACAACAACAAGTATCCCAAAGTTGAACTTATTGTTTTAACTTAAGTAAAGTTTTCATTTTTTTATATATAATTAAATCACTGAAAATAATTTTTTTAATTTTGATAATGCTTATTTCAACTAGAGAGTACAGGTACAGTTTATTTCACATGCTAAGATAGTATTTTATAGTTATAGTTTTAAAACGAAACGTCTCGATTAAAAACCTAGAGCTCATCAATTTTTTCTCGAAAAACTATTCTTTGTTAATTTTTTATGTTTATTTATGCTGAAATTTTTCATAGTTTGTTTTAAGTGGGTTTGTTTTTAATAGCATGTTGTTCGACATGGCTGTATTTTCAAACGGTCAGTCATATCTATTTACAATATTAACACTATAACCAAATCTTTGTTTTGTCTAACTTCGACTTTGAATTGGTTATTATCGGTTAACGTTGCATGCTTCCGTTGGGGTTTGAATCACTGCTTCTGCAGCCGCATCATAAATCAACGATTGCACGCGCAATTTGCATAAATCGAGTTTTGAACTTACCGCTGGCATTGGCAAGCGCGTTTGGCGCCTGCGCAGCTGCCGCTGCTGCTGCTGTTGTTGCTGTTGTTTTGCTGGCCAAAAGTGCAGAGTGCCGCCCACAGGTGGGCAAATGCAATTGGCGCCTTTGATGCCGGGGCAAAAACCGCCAGTTGGCAACGCGAGTGTGGGCGTAAACATCGCAGCTGACCGCCGTAATTGATCGTCGCAGCAATGTCAACGCAGTCATGACGACAAATAAGGTAAAACACAAAAAAAGGTAACCAAAACAGAGAGCAGAGAAGAGAAGAGAAGACGCGAGAAGCGAAAAGATAGAGAGGAGAACGGGTCTGCTACGTAATATATTACGTATACGTAAGCGTGAGAGAGGGGTGGAATCAGAAACAGAATCACAATCAGCTGACGTGACGGCTGTGAGCTTTGCTTTTTCGCCTGCACTTTTTAGTTATTCTCTAATTCTCAAGTGACTCACAACGTTTCTCTTATTGTTTTGGGAGATTTACTCGCGCGCGCAGAATAATTGCCCAGAAAATATTAAAAGGAAAACAAAAACACTGGCGGGCCGTCAACTAACCAAACCACTACTACGTAATGTATTTAAATCAACTAACAATCAAACACGCAATTTACGTAATTAGCACAACAAACAACACAACGACAGTAATAACAACTACAATAACAGCAACAGCAACAGCTACTAGCGCCAATTGGCACGCCGAATTCCAATCAGAGCTAGTCTATTCAGCTAATGTTATAGCTCTCCGGATCGGGCGTCTTTATCGTTCGAGGCGACAATCTGAACTGCCGTGAACTGGCATCGTTCGCAGCTATCGCTTTTCAACACAAGGTGCCCCATCGGGAGGAAAGCGAAATCGAAATTTAAATATGTAACAATTCGATTCAAAGGTGCCGCGTGTCATGCGTGTTAAATGTGTCATAGAAAGGGGAAAGTGCAGTATCTTGCAAGAAACAAGAAACGATTTTAATTTATAAAATTCAATTTTTTCCCTATGAAATATGTGTGTTCTTTTAAAAGCATCAACAATTAAGTTTGCTTTTTATTTGATAGTTTTTGTAGTTTTTTTTTGTTTGCGAAAAGCTGCAAAAAAACATTGGTGATAGTCTCGGCTGACTCCCACTTACATTGTTACGTAGTGACCAATAGTCGAGACACCCACCCACACAATGTGTGATTCCAATTGGAACTCAATTTGTAAGTGCAAAAAAGGATAACTAAAACTAGATTTCGTTCTTAACAGCTTAAAAATTTAATATGGACAAGGAATGATAAAGAACAGAAATCAAAACAACAATTATATTACTATAAACTATTTATACCTATTATCGACTTTTTAAATAAATAAGTATACCTGCATTTTTATAAAAACACATTTAAAAATATTGTGTATTAGAGAACGAGTCAACATTTGCCACTTATACAAATACGATTGTTTTATAAACATAAGAAACGTATTATTGGTCTCTTTAAGCGGCCTTTCCTTTTTTTAATAGCTAGAAAAGCAAATATTTATTTTTCATTATGAGTACACAATCGACCAAAATGTAAAATGTAAATGTTTTTATCTCATACTGAATCGAAGCTGTTGCTGCTCTGCTGCCTGTTTTGTTTGTTTTAGAAAACAACTTGTCACTTAATATGGTTATTTGTTTGGTGTTTGTACGTGTGTTTATATTTCATTTCACCTGCCTTTCAATTAACGAATAATTTAAGTCATATTTATATTTATATTTATACATGCAAACGAATAATGTCGCTAGTCGGTTGACTGCCCCTATTTAGCACATGGGCGCAGATTACCTTTGACAGAGTCCCACGCACAGGTACATTCATACACACAGGTGCTCCGATCAATATCGATCCGTCGTCATTAATCTATAAAGCGCTATCAAAGCCTGCACAAGTTCTTAATTGGCTGTTACAGCGGCTTTGACGATTTTGGGCGATGTCAAGTCAACTGGTGCCGAAAACAAACAAACAAAGCGATATCAGCTAACTCTTACTAGCACATGTATGTCATCATCACAGCCATCATCATCGTCATTATGACTCAGTGGATCGTCATGCTCGGTGCTGGATTTTACACCCGAAAAAATTGCAGTGAAATGAGCCATTATTTAACATTTGTTTTGTTAATTTAATACTAGTTTAATAACTGGTTTCTAACGGTTAGAAATTTATATTTTTTACTTTAATGTTCAAGATTCCAACTAAGTTTTAGTTAAAGGTTTGAACTCTAATACAATAATTTGGAGTTGGGAAACCTCTATTAAAATCACTAAAATAATTTTAAGAACTGGCTACATTTTCTACCTGATTTCTAATAGAAGATATTTTTTAAAATGACGGTCTAGAACACTTATATTTTATAAGTTTGGTTCCTTAACCCCTTATTTATCTGATATTCAACACAACTTTGCATTTCTTAAACACCAAAATATTTAACAACAAAATAACATTTTACTTTTGAATTTACTTAAAAGTAAAACACAGATTAAAAGTATTTAAAATACACAGAAGTTTTCCAAATATTCTACCAAAATCTCAAGTATGCCAAAAAAATCCACATCATAATCCACATAATTAAAATAATTTACTTAATATTTATGTAAGAAATATACATAAATTGACCACAATTTTGGTCTGTTTATGTAAAGTGGAAAATGATGTGTTTTTTTCGCTGTGCAATCATCAATTTTGGGTGCCCCCTGCGGCGGCGCCTCTGGGCGAAATGTTGTCACTGAGGCTCGAAGATTCTCGCTGGGCTTTCGCCCGATCGCAATGCGCATTCCGCTGCAGACCGCCGGCCGAGGCAGTCGATTCATTAATAATCTTCCAACGGCATTGGAATTAAAATTGGGAGTGGGAAATCGGCGAATCGCCAAAATAAACAAGCTCCCAACTAGCCGCTAACTGTTTAGAATCCGAGCCGCGTCCGCTAATTGCTTTGTTTTCATTCTGGTTTTTCTGTGCAGTCCAAAACCAAAAACCGAAAACAAACTTAAAACCAAACTCAAAACCCAAACCATTACGAAGCCGAAAAAGTTTTAATCGCGAGTTTCGACCTCGACGTGAAAGTTTCCACTTCCAACCGCTGCGTGCACGTAAGTACGAAAAACATTTTTGGCATTGAGCGTCTGTTTCGGCTGGCAATCAGAATAATTTCCGCTTAATTGCAGTTGATATACATACGTACAAATTGAGTGCCATGGCTGCGGTGAATGTGAAGATTGTGGAGTCCAAGCTGGACATTTTTCAGGCCCCGCAGAGCCATGCTCTGGCCCATGCCGTGGAGTCGTCCTTTGTGGCGGAACGGGGATCCCTGGCCTGGCAGTTTGCCCTGATCTACGGGGATGTGGATGAGCTCCGACAGAGGCGAGTGGCCAGGGGAAACTGCGCCGTACTGGAGCACAATTCGCGGTTCATATACTACCTGGTCACCAAATCGAATCTCTACGAGGCCAGCACCTATGACGACGTCCAGGCGTCTTTGATCTGTATGCGGGAACACATGGTGAGTGCTTGGGATTGGGGTCTTCGAGAGAAATAAAAACAAGTGACATTTCCCCCCAAAAGAGTAACCGCACTTCGACGCTCGGAAAACTGGTTTCTTTGCCAGTCTGACTTTGTCAATTTACAGTTAATTTATTTGTACATTGAGACACAGTAAATATCACAAAAATGTTTCCCCTTTTCTCATGAAATTTTAAAGCATTTTACTTGCTTAAAAATGTTAGGTCATAAAAATATTTAAAAGAATTTGCATACAGTTAATTTATTTGTAGCTATCGTTTAAGTGGTGTTCCCATCTTGATTGCTATTTTCTTTTGCAAAAGTATGTCTTTCGGTTAACTATAATTGGCAGTGGGGAAATTAAAGTCAGGTTCTCAAGATTAGTTTGTGGAAGATTAAGATGTACTTTTTAATTTAAAACTTTCTCGTGACCCATTATTGGTAATATTTTGCTAGCCCAACAAATTGTTGAAATCTCTATCATACAATTCAAATCTTATGGCTTATTCTCACTTATTTTTGTTATATTTTATTTTTCTTATGTATTGTGTTATGTTATCTTTATGCTGTTTTACTGTAAAATTCCTTAAAGTGTTTTGAATACTGATAGAACTTTTTCTGATTTTAAGAAACTTTTAAAATAATAGTATAAATTCATTAGCGATTTCTGTGGCTTTAAGCAAATTAAATAACAATTTTTTTTGTTGTTTTACCATGTATATTTTTAATTGCTTAAGATATTATTTGAAATTAATAGTTTGTTAAACACTTTAACCTAATTTTATTAAATAAAAAAGTGGGCTATTTAAGTTTTTTTTAAGATTCTATTAGCCAATGCTCACTGTACTGTTTCCCCAGCGCAACCACGAGATCACCAAAGTGGCCATGCCCCGAATCTGCTGCGGCAAAGATGGCCTCGAGTGGAGGCAAGTGAAGCGCCTGGTGCAGCAGACCTTCTCCCAGAGCGAGTATCCCATCGAGATACTCATCTGTGAGCACGACGACATGTCCAAGGAGGTGAGTAATCCCAGATAGTTGAAAAGAACAATTGACATACCCGGTTAATCCACAGTTGGCTGCACCCAAGTGTCAGATTACGGAGGCCAGGGGGAATCTATTCAGTGCCCCGGAAAACTATGCATTGGTGCACTCGGTCAGCGCTGATTTCGCCATGTGTGCGGGCATTAACCTCCAGTTCCGCTGCAAATTCGGCCAGGTGGACGAGCTGAAACGACAAAACCGACACACCGGCAATGTGGCTGTCCTGGAACAGGAAGGTCGATACATCTACAACTTGGTGACCAAGGAGCGGAGCCACGAGAAGTGCACTTACACGGCTCTATATTATGCCTTTCTGGCCATGCGGGAGCATATGGTAAGTATTAGTTCCTAAAAGCAGAAAAACATAAATCATAAAACAGAACATAAATAGTAATTAATACCTCCACAAAAATGCATGTTTTAGAGGGAGCACGGAGTGACCAAGTTGGCGATTCCCAGACTTGGATGCGGCATCGATCGTTTGGATTGGTTGCGTGTGCGCAGTTTGCTGGATTTGGTCTTCGCCGAGGACAAGGTGGACATCATTGCCTTCTTCTACACTCCGCCACAAATGGTCAAGGACACGCTGAATGTGGTGTGTCCCACCTGTCGGCACATGAAGACCATCCATTTGCCATCGAGATCCGTCAGCGGATCTAGGCAATCTCTGCACCGCGAAAAGACACCCTTCTAAATGCAAGCAGGGCGAACTGTATATAGAAATCTTCGTTTGACATTCGAATGGGTTTTACTTGGGACTTGTGGCACCGAATGCACCAAATACTTATATAGCTCTTAAGAATATTCACATAAGAACTTTCATGCACGAAAAATGTTTATTTTTGGGTATTTTATACTGTATGTAAATTAATAAACTGTACACGCCCTCGAGAGGGTATTAACCAAAGATCGACTTTTATTTTCGAATCATAAAGCTTAAAAAAAATTACTTTGCAAAGTGGCATTTCTTTAAAGTCTTGAGTCTTAAATCTCTTAAAATCAGCGTTTAAATTTTGTAGTTTATGGTTGTTTTTTAATGACTTTTTTAGTTTAGTTTTTCTTATAGACATCTGATTTTTAAGATGGTAAATATCTAAAATATTATGGCATAAGTCTCTAAAAATTAGAGCTCACAACGTCTTTGAAATCTTCGACAAATTTGAAATGCTCTCTTTCTGGCAATGTATGCTTTGATTTTTGTGACAGCTTATAGAAATAATCTAGTAGTTCTTTTGCTTTAAAAAACAATTTAAATAAAATAAAATGTATTGTCCTAAACTTCTAGATTTACGTAACGCATTTCGACGGGCCTTTGTAGTCGGAATGTCATCGAAACCCCAATATAGTCTTAGCGAGGTGGACGGGGATCTGTTCTCCGCCCCCAAGACTTATTCCTTGGCCCATTGTGTGGGCGCCGATCTTGCAATGGGCGCTGGAATCGCCGTGCAGTTCAAGAAGGTCTACGGCAAGGTGGACGAGCTGAAAGCCCAACAAGCGGGCAGTGGAGATGTCGCGGTCTTGAAGGATGACCAGCGATACATATACTATTTGGTAACCAAGCCTCAAAGCTGGGGCAAACCCACCTACGAATCTCTACAGGCGTCCCTGGAGCAGATGCGCGAGCATATGGTAAATATAGAAGTGCTTTTAATATTATTTTTATCTTAGATACCAAAAAAACTATTTGTAAATGTAGATTTACGTTCATAAATTCATCGATTCCTACTGTATTAAACAATAAAAATAGGAACGTTAAAAATAATTTTTACGGCAATACTCTTACTCTTTCATATAGCTAAATAATCTGTTGAAATACATGAACCTATTTTAAACTAATATAAAATAGGTTCATGTATTTCACAATAGATTATTCCCTTTTTAGGGATATGTGGAATATTAAACAGCCAATGTTAGAGATTTTTAAGCCAGGTGTAATAATATTGGTATTTCACTAATTTTAGTTCTAATAAGAAGGATCAGCTAGATACACACATCCAGAAATCTTGTTCCTTCAGATAGCCTTATAACACAGAGCCTTATATCGTAACTATCTTAATCACTCTATATCTTAATCTCTTATATTAGCGCAAAAACAACGTGGATAAGCTGGCCATACCACGAATTGGCTGCGGCATCGATGGCTTGGAGTGGGATAAGGTCAGTGGAGTTCTGGAGTACGTTTTTGGCCAGGAACCGCTGGAGATTGTGGTCTACAACTTTGTGCCGCCGCAGAACAAATAATGGAATATTTACGCTTACTTTGTGCCATTTACTTCTGAGCTTCATAATTATACACAACCAGTTCCAGAGCATCCAATTGGAAAACCGTGCAGACTAGTTCCTTAACTTTTGGCCACTTCAGGCCATCCAGACCGCATCCTATGCGGGGCATGGCTAATTTGGTGACTTGGTGGGAGATCTGTTGGTGATTAAAAAGCATTATAGTTTATAGGAAAGGTAAATTTATCCATTTACCATATGCTGTCGCATGGCAATTAAGGAACTGTGAAGGAGTTCATAGGTAGGCTTTCCCCAACTGGATTTTTTGGTTATCAGGTAGTATATATAACGCTGCTGATCGTGAATGATGGCCACGCCGCCGGGCTGAACGTTCTGCTTCTGCAAGTTCAGTAACTGCCCAAATTTGTTTCTAAGAAATCGGGGAATGGTTTAATTATCTTCAAATCATGGTATTAAGACACATTTTGGCTCACCGAAATTTTACAGCTATGCCTTTGCCCATACGCAAGTCTGCGGCCACACAATGGCACATGGAATAGTCACTTTTGCAACTAAACAAGTCGCCTTTGATTTCCTTGTAAGTAAAACTCGACATTTCAATTAGTTTTTAGATTTATACATACATCAACTTTTTATTAACAAACTTTTTTCAACTGTGCGCATTTCTCGTGTCCGCGTTTCTCTGCGAATGGCTGCCAGCTGGTGCTTGGCAACGCGTAAGTAATCCACGCCTTACAACACTGCCCCTGGGGGCACTGCACATACGGTCACACTAAAAATACCTTCGACCAGCTGATAACAAATGAGTTTTATTTTTAAATTTATTGCCACTTTTGTACGCAAAATGCTGGAGCTGCTGCAATTCGGTGGCAAGACATTGACGCACACGTTGAGCATTTATGTGAAAACGAACACGGGCAAAACTTTGACCGTGAACTTGGAGCCCCAATGGGATATTAAGAATGTAAAGGAACTGGTAGCCCCACAATTGGGACTCCAACCGGATGATTTAAAGATCATATTTGCAGGAAAGGAACTAAGTGATGCCACCACAATAGAGGTTGGATAATCTAGAATAGTTGTCTTTTTAAATTGCTTAATTTTCCCATCTTTCAGTAGCAATGTGACTTAGGTCAGCAGAGCATTTTACATGCCATCCGTTTGCGACCGCCTGTGCAGCGCCAGAAAATTCAGTCGGCCACTTTGGAGGAGGAGGAACCTTCGCTGGGCGAAGAACCCTCAAAGCCCCTCAATGAAACCCTTCTAGATCTGCAGTTAGAAAGTGCGGAGCGACTCAACATCACCGATGAGGGTAGGCAACAGGTTGTTTACTGGATCAAATCTCTCGTAATACTACCTAATCCCCTCCAGAAAGAGTCCGTGCCAAGGCTCACTTCTTCGTGCACTGCGGTCAGTGCGACAAGTTGTGCAACGGCAAGCTCCGCGTGCGCTGCTCCCTCTGCAAAGGTGGCGCCTTCACTGTCCACCGGGATCCGGAGTGCTGGGACGATGTCCTCAAGTCACGCCGCATTCCCGGACACTGCGAAAGTCTGGAGTTGGCCTGCGTGGATAACGAGGCGGGCGATCCGCCCTTCGCCGAGTTCTTCTTCAAGTGTGCGGAGCACGTTTCCGGCGGGGAGAAGGACTTTGCGGCTCCCCTAAACCTCATCAAGAACAACATCAAAGATGTGCCTTGTCTAGCCTGCACAGATGTGAGGTAATTATTTAACGAAAATGCATATTTTATAATATTGGTCTGGATTAAAAAATTAGTGAACTTTTAAAGGGAATTCTTAAGTCTTAATAAGTGGTAACTAATGTAGTTTTCAGTATCCTCAAAGAAATTGGCAAGACAAACCTTTTTATTATATTCAACAATTCTTGAATTGATTATGTAATATTTATAAAATCATCTCAAAGAAATTATGAAAGCAACAGACTTGATTAATTTAATGAATTGCATGAATTTAATGGTTAAACATAATATCTTAGATCCGTGAGCTGAAAAGATTTTCGTATGCAAAGATACATTTGAATAATTTTCTTTAAAATCCTTAAAAGATATAAAAATTATCTCCTCTTTGCAGTGAAACTGTTTTGGTCTTCCCCTGTGCTTCGCAGCATGTAACCTGCATCGAGTGCTTCCGCCACTATTGCCGATCGCGTTTGGGCGAGCGTCAGTTTATGCCGCATCCGGACTTTGGCTATACTTTGCCCTGTCCCGCCGGCTGCGAGCACTCGTTCATCGAGGAGATCCACCACTTCAAGCTGCTGACGCGCGAGGAGTACGATCGCTACCAGAGGTTCGCCACCGAGGAGTATGTCCTGCAGGCGGGCGGAGTACTCTGCCCGCAGCCTGGATGCGGCATGGGCCTCTTGGTGGAGCCCGACTGCCGCAAGGTGACCTGCCAGAATGGCTGTGGCTATGTTTTCTGTCGCAGCTGCCTGCAGGGCTATCACATTGGGGAGTGCCTGCCCGAGGGGACGGGTGCCAGTGCCCAGAACTCCTGCGAGTACACCGTGGACCCAAATGTGAGTTCGTTGTTATGCAGCCCAGCCGTGGCCGCTTGTGTAATCATGTGCTTTTCCTGCTAGCGAGCTGCCGAGGCGCGATGGGAGGAGGCCAGCAATGTCACCATCAAAGTCAGCACCAAACCCTGCCCCAAATGTCGAACGCCCACGGAGCGCGATGGTGAGTGGGAGTGGGCCATCCAAGACGCAATTGGTAACATGTCCTAACCCATCCCTTCTCCTCCTTCCAGGCGGCTGCATGCACATGGTCTGCACACGCGCTGGCTGCGGTTTCGAGTGGTGCTGGGTCTGCCAGACTGAGTGGACACGCGACTGCATGGGCGCCCACTGGTTCGGCTAGTCGTTCGTCGGCCCGAAGTGGCCATTTTGTTTGTTGACTACTTTTAAATTGTATACCACAGTAAAGACTGCTCGTGTAACACCCTGTTTGTCGTCTACGCAATCAATAACAGAAAACACCCCTCACGAGCACCGCGGAGCTCATCCTACCCCACTCTATTCCTTCGTTGCGTGCGCACAAAACTTTGTTTACGTTTTTCCATCGCTCGCCCACAAATATTTTGAGGGCTTTCCTCTTTGGGCTGCCATGCGAAAACCGCAATAAACACGTGCACTTGGCCGACGACCGAATAAGAGAGAGATTGCGGCGAATGCGCAGTGGGTGGCCAGCGGTGCAGGGCTCTTGTAACCCAGGCGCGTAGCCGCAAGGGGACTCCCAATAATTGATTAGGGAACGGCTAAGGCATTTCAAAAATTTGCTACGAGGGTTTTCAAATTCCCAAAGATAGAACTACTTTTTAGGTACTTTTTCTTTTGAAGAAGTTAAGCCTTTTTGTTAAGAATGAGTTGCTGAAGTAGATTAGAACTTGAGTAACGTGGAGAAACTAAAATACAGCCCGACGCAATTGAACTCCCAATAATTGATTAGGGAACGGCTAGAACATTTTAAAAATTTATTATGATTGTATCTGTAAATTCCTTCTTTTGAGCTTCTTTTTCTTTTGAAAAAAACTTTCCAAGGATGCGTTTTCTAAATCCTCCTTCCTGCTTCTTTATTTTTTTTTTTTTACTTCAATGTTATAGGCATAAGTACAAAATATTTAAGTGTGTTATCCATGTAATTAAGCAATTAAAAGTAACCATAGCGGTTGTAATATAGTAATTCTCAAAGAAAGCTAAAGCTATCAAAAATATTTCCTTAAATACTTTCAAGTTTTAACCTCGCATTTTTGTAAATTTAGAGAATGTCAAACTCTTTCGTGTATTTAAAAAGTTCAACTGGCTGGTTATCAGTCTGCTTAAAGGCTTATCGGTCATCAAAAGTTGGTCTGGCGAAATGCCACAGGTTCACGGGAAGCTAATAAACGGAAACATCCCTTGACGGAGCGACGTACGAGTGCGCCAGAAAGCGTGCTAGGGTTTTTCGCATATTGGTGGGTATTCGTGGCCCGGACATCGATAAATCCAGCCTATACATACCTCATTCACACACAGCGAACGTGGGAAACCCCCAAGCGGGACTCTGGCGGAAAATTCGCTGCGCACTTACAGCTTTCTCTCGCTCTTCCTCGCCGTTTCTCTCCTAGGGATTCTCCCGCCTCTTTGCCATTTAGAAGTAACGCCACGTTCTAGATTCCTTTCGGCTTGCCGCTCTGTTTTGGTTGGGTTTCTGTTTTGTGCTCTAATTCGTAAGCAAAGCGAATAGTTTCCACTGGCATTTCCCAGAGAGCCGAGGAGAGAGAGAGAGAGCGAAATGCAGCGAATTTTCCGCCCTCGAATGGCGACTGGCGAAAGGAAAAGCTCGCTCGCGCATGTGGGCAGGTTGCCCATCGAATCGGGTCACAAAGTTCCCAGTGCAGCAGCTTCTGTGTTGTTTTTTTTTTTTTGCTATTTCTTTTTTTTCCGTCTGCTCCTTGCTGCGGTGCTTGTCTTTTGCCAGCTTTTCTGCTTCTTCTGCCTTGTGAGGCCTTCGGTGTATAAATGGCAGCGCACCCGCGTATCGCGTTTCAGTCTACGTTGGACTTTAGCGCGCGTCGTACACGCTGCGTATACGTAACGCAATCCCAAGATACGGCGGACTCCGCACCGAACTGAGGCCTCCGTCCGAGTGAGGCCGCCGTGCTCCGATCACTTGGCGTTTTGGGCTGCCCGCTCTTCGATTTTTCCGCCGCGAGCCTCGAAGAGAAAATCGGAAAAGTCGGTGGCAAAGTGCCTGCCTCTCACGAGTGGACCATTGTGAACTGTTTTGCGTGGGCACTAGAATTTCAAATTTAACGGCTTTTCGTGGTGTGTGCGATTGGGAAAACCGTGGGGAGAGTTTTCGAAATTGGAGGCGAGGTTTTTAATTGAATCTATTAGTGAAAATTTAATTTTCGACTGTAGTGAATGAGCGGACGGTGATAAAGACGCTTATTGAAAATTTCCTGAAAAAACTTATAAATAATACAATTTTAAAAATATAAATTAGCACATAAAAAAAATACAAAAGTTTGAAAATTACAAGGTAAGAATCTTTAAGATATTTTTTTTTTCACAGATATATTAGACAATTTCAATCGTTTTCATTAAATGGTTAATGTTTCATAATAGGGTTAATATATTTTAAAGTAAGAAGTTTCAAAATAATTTATTGTTTTCTTTTTAATATTACTATTGAATTTATTTTTAATTTAATTGCATTTGCTTTTCAATACTTAGTTTCATTTACAGTTATATACTCTTAAAGTTTGTAAAACAGATAAATCCGTTATTAGACTGAAATTAATGACTGCTTACTTACTTTCTTGTTAATTATACTTTGTAGTTTAAGCTTTTTAATCTATATTAATATTTAAATGAAATTACACATACTTTTTTGAAATATAATTTTTTTAAACATATGGTTTTATGGATTATGCCTGCAAAACATTTGCAATAGACTTCTGCAATAGAATCTTTTGATATCCCCTAGAATTTTTTTCTAGTACCCCCACGCACTTAAAGTCCTGCCCCATTTATTGGGAATCCTCAGCCACGCAGAGACTCAATTAAAAACGCTATATTACATTGCATACATTCGGGCGCTCTGCTCGGGCCACATTGCACATACGCAACGTGTGACGCGCGCGGGTCCGTGTAATGATTGTGTACACCAGCAGCTCCTCCTCCTGCTCCTGCTCCTTCTTTGGTTACTGCTGCTGCTGCTGCTGCTGCTGGACGCAGAAGAGGAAAACAACAAAAAAAAAGTACAGAAACAGTGCATGAGCTGAGGCGAAAACCCGTCTCGGGCTGCTGTTTTTATTGATTTATATATACACGGTGGCGGCGTGTGGGAGGCTGTTCTGTTCTGTTCTGTTGCTGCCTTTGCTGTTGTGTCGCAATGTCCCAAAAAGAGGCACCACCAACACATACACACGCGGGCAGCATCCATCGCCATCGCCATCGCCATTTAAACGGCTGCCGTCGTGCTGAACTTCCGTTTCCTGTCGCAGGATCCAAAGAGCGAATGCCAGAGAGAGAGAGAGCGAGAGTCCAGACTTTCCTCCTTTTCGGCGCTACAGCAATTGCAGTTGCTTAACTTAACATTATTTCGAGGCTCATTTCATTTACGGCTGACAGCTTTTGTTTCACCTAACCCTTTGGGCCAGCCTCGAAAGCTCTCTCTCTCTCTCTCCTGCTCTCATTTTCTCGGAGAAGCTCTCTCGAACTCTCTTCGCCGGCTAATGGCTCGCTTTCTCTCACTCTCTTGGACAGCTTGTGTTTACATTGATTATGTTATCCACTCCGCCCCCCGTGTTTGACTTTGCTAATTGAGTTGTCCTGCCCCACCTCCTTCTGACTTGCTAATTTGCTGCCAGGACATCTTCATCATCATCATCATCATCATTATCATCATCACCAACCTCATCTAGAACGTCACTCGCTTGGGCGCTCCAATCAATAAAGGTTGCCCTCTGCTAACGCTTTCCCCGCCAGCCACCCACTACCGATTGCCTTCAATTATTATTTTTCGCCTTTTTTCTGGTGTTTTTGCGAAAAAAAGTTTATTAATCAATAAACGCACACGTCAAGTACAAACTTACAGACGCCCACAAGTAACTGCGGTGCACAGAAAACACACAGATTGTGTTCTAAAACAACTGTGTAGAATAAAAACTAATTTACTCTGACTATATAAAAATAAAATTTGAATAGTTGTTGCCATGTTTAGCATACATTTCAATATCTAAAAAAGGTTTAAAAATATTTAACTTAATACTCCACAATATTTTTATTTAAATTTATGTATTCAAAATTAAGAAAGACATTTTGCTAAGCCATGATAAATAAATAAAAATGTCAAGATAAAATTATATTTTAGATGAGTACAAAATTATTTTAAATATTTAACTACAATAGTTTTTAAAACAATGATATCTTTAAATATTGCCAAGCAACTTATTAATATTTATTTAAAATAATATCAGCAATTAATAACTAATTCTTTTCATGAGCTAATTAAAGTTGTTTATTTAAATGCAATGTGTTTTTCTCCGTGTACAGTATTTGTGTGTGCTGATATGTAATGTGCTGGGCGGGTACTGGGTGGCTTTGTGGCTAAGAGAAGCTGTTGGAAGACATTCGGCGTAGCATGGTGACGACTTTGAACCACCGACCCGTCCGACATCCACCCACCCACCCACTGGTCCTTATCAATCCCACTCCAGATGTGTGCACTTTTGTGGCTCATTAACGGTTTGCATGCGGCCAAAATGCATGCGGTTATTCATTGAATGCGAGTGTGCAAGGATGTGCCAGGATGTGTGTGGTGTGCGGGTGTGTGTTCGTGGGAGATGCGCTCGATAAGTTGAGTGGCTGTTTGTTGCCGTTGCCGTTGTTGTGGTGCCTCAGCTGCCTGTGCGTGAGTGCAAAACAAACGGAATTTTGCGCATGGCCCATCAAGAGATGCACCCAACCGTCAGGGTCCTTCCACCGCCGCCATATCCCCAATTACCAGCAACCCATTTTCCATTTTCCATTTCCCAGCCATCTTCAGTCGGCAACCGCATTTTGTGCATCATAACATGACTGGGATATTCGGCGAGTTGCTGGCTGCTCTCATTAGCATGTGTGGAATGTCAGGATTGCACTCAGTTAAACTCAAGGATCCACAATTGAGGCATTTAAGGATTTTGCAACGTTAGGGGGTGAATTGGAAAGGCAAAGGAGTTGCTTTACATATATTAATTCCTTGTATATATTTATATTTTTGTTAAACCGTGTGTATACATATTTTTTTTAGTTGTTTGACCTTTATTTATATTGTTGTACATGCCATGCGTAATAATAACATGTCACATGGAGGCTGTAAGAGGCGCAAGAAAGCCCAACTTATCTCTTAATCCCGGTCAGATAAGTAGTCTTGAAACCACAAACAAAACCCAACACCATGTACCTCACATAAAATGTTATTGGCCCGATGTTAATTGAATTGTCTGCGGCACTCCGTACGCAATTGTCTCGTTGTTTGCCACCATGGGCAACTGTTTAACGATCTCGCCATTGACATGCCCATTTCCGGAGGGCGAGGGCCATTCAATGTCCTGGCATTAAAGAGCAGGGAGACACACACACACACAGACAGGACACTATTTTCGCCTGATAATAAATCCAACCACTTTGCTCTCCCTTTTTTTTTTTGCACTCCATTCACAGGCGGACAATAAGAAAACTGCAAGTGTGGCGAAAATTGATTCGAACATAAATAAAGGGCAGCCAAGCGTGGCGAGACAAGGACAACACAAGCAAGAAGACCAAGGATTTGCGATTGGCCAAAAGGGCAAAAATCAATAATAGCCACATGTAAGAGGACACCGGGCACACGCAGTATGATGGCCATTAGCAAGGACATGGGGCAGACGACTCCTAGCCTCCAGTTGTTGCAGGATAAGTAACGAACTCAACGGGGCTAACATGTCGGACCGATATCCAGCCGGCTTCTACGATCATCAGCAGCATCAACAGCAGCAGCAGCATCATCAGCTAGCCCATCATCCCCATCATACGGCCACGATGTCGCACTATCCGCCGCAACCCTACAGATCGGGTTACACCGGCTACCATCCCTATCACGGCTATAGCTACGGGTCTTCAAGTGCTTCTTACATGCCCAACTACTACCGCTATGCGCCGTATGCCTCACCGCACTACAGCCAGCACCACCAGGGGATGTTCACGCCGGCCGGTCAGCAGCTAATCCCCTCCAGCGTCCTCCACTACCCGCCCAGGGCGCATCCCTACCACCAGCAGCAACAGCAGCAACAGCAGCAGCAGCAGCAATCCCAGCCAGGCTACGAGCCACCAGCTCCGTTGCCATACAGTTCTTCCGCCTCGTATCAGTCCCGTGGCTTTGGCGGCTATGCGGGTCCAACGCCTCACTATGCACCGCCGGGGAGATCCACCACGCCGGCTCCGAATCGCACTGTCTTGCCACCCAGCTATTTGGAACCACTGCGCAGCTACGGCGCCGAGCAGCCACTTCTGGGCCAGCAGCAGCAGCCGCATCTCGGCCAACAGCAGCTGCAACACCTGCCGCTGGCGGCCACACCCAAGCTCGAGGATCCGGACATCGAGGTGGAGGCGGTGGCGGAGTCGCCCGCCCAGCGGCTGACCACATCGCCGCCCATGATCAGCGCCACCGGAACGGACAGCGGCATCAGCAATTGCAGCACACGGGCGCGAAGCGACAGTAGTCAAAGCACGCCCGTCTACAGCGGCGAATATCCGGTTAACATGTCCGTGGAGTCCGCCTCCTGTGTGCCATATCACTGTCCGGCGGATGGCAGGGACTTCGAGGACGAGGAGCTCCAGCCAGCTCCGGCGATGGCGATGGCCGAAACCAGAAGGGCGGACACTCCGCTCGATATTCCCGGTAAGTTGTCAGCTTTTTATCGCTTCGCCCATCGTCCATCGCACGTCGCCTGTCGTTCCTTCATTACACTCTATTTAATTTACAATTATGCGCGGCCGCGGGGGAGAATTCGCAAATTTATGCAAACATATGTCAGGGCAGATTATGTAACAAGTATTGAAGTCAGCAAGGGACGGCAGTAGTAGTTACTTTACCGGAATTCAACGATTGAAGGTACAGTGGTAGGTACGGGATCGATCGGTTAATGGGAGCTAAATGTTGGTTCACGCTGAAAGCAAAACTGTATTGTTAAATAGCAATCACATAAATTCAGTGGAGAAATGTTTATAAAACGAAAACAGTAGATGTACTTTTTAATTTTGTAAAGATTTACTTCTGTAATAAATATCAAAGAATCTTTTATAGGATTCAATTTTTGTAAGAATATAATTTAATTAATATAGAGCGTATAAACATAATAATATTTCTCATTAGTCTTAAATAACCCTTTGGTTATTAATTCTTAGTTTAGCCATTTTATAATGTTATTTTTCAATAACCCCACAGTTCCACTGTGCCGCCATTTACTTATGCTTGATTCCGCATGCAAATTAATGCAAGAACTGTCCGTTCGTGTTGCCGTCATCGTTGTCATCGTGGTCGGAGTGTCGTCCGTAAAGCTCTTCACCAGCAGCGATGTCCGTCAGGTTATTCCACCAGCTCCTCCGTTTCCAATTCCCCGCAATTCCTGCCATCGCCTACATATTGCACAAGCCTGACAAGCCGACGTTTTTCAAACACTCAACCAATCAGCGTTGGTTAACTGCTGAAATACTTCCGTTTCCTGACAGGAGGGGTTGCTTTATGGGGAGGAGGTTGAAGGGGCGGGTGGCTTTGGCCCGCCTACGTCATGGCGCTTCAGAGGACTTCAAAATTAGCTGTCTATTTAGGCACGCGAATGCCCGAGACTCTCCGACTTTGCCCCGTGATGTGTGGCTTTTTAATTTTTTGTCGTGTGTGCAAATCAATAAGTCAACTGTGTATGTGGATGACCCACCAGGTGCGAAGTGAACCCACATATTCTTTTTTTTTTCTGAATATTTTGCAGTGCAAACGAACTTCGTGCGCTGGGAAAAATTTCGAAAACAAATAGTAATTCACTTAGTAATTTGGTATTGATTTAAACGATGTTTCCTTGGGACCTTGGTTTAGAAAGCAAATAAACGTTGACTTAAATATTTTTTTTTTATGTAGCTTTAGTTTTTTTTTTAAAAGGTTTTATTGTAAAACTATCAGATTACAACAATTTAAGCATCAAAAATTTCCTTACATTTATCTTTCATTTTGAACAATGTTTTTTTCCAGTGTGATGTAGTGTTTGCCTGTGCTTGTGGGCGGTTTTGTGTAAAGCTACGTCGTTATCAATGGGCGTTTGACTTTCACACACAAGCACAGCCACACAGACTTATCTAAGGGTGTCTTTCTTGCCAGCTGTGTGTGCGTGAAATGTCATCACAGCCAGCATGTAAATGAACTTTTCAGCGTAATGCGGTGGTTGCCGCTGCTTTTGCCGCCTTACTACCGTTAGTCAAACCCACCCACACAGACGGCAAACACTCCCGAACACTCACAAACACGTGCACGGAAAAAAGTTAAGATCGTTAAGACTTTCTCAAATAGGATCAATGAAAAATGACTTATTATTGTATATAAGTGTTCCTAATAGTTGCCAACTAAATACGAGTTTTCCAATTCGCCTTAATTTGTTTTGAAAATAAACAATCAATATTTTTTTCTGTGCACTAATAAAGGGAGGAACCAGCGACACCCTGAAACAAGCAGAGGAACAGGAATAGGAACAGCTCCCTGGTGCAATAGCCAGGGCTCAAATTCAACTTCAACCTCTACCTCCGATTATGGCCACCATATGGAGGCAAAAATCAATGTCCGTTATGTGAAATGAAGAGCAGTTAAAAAAGGAATGCAATTTGGGGGATATTTCCACACAGGTAGAGTGAATATTTAACGGAGTCGAAATTTCGTTATTTCTGAAGGGCTCGTAAGCTCAAATATTGTTATCTAAATAGTAAAAGTTAAGTAACTAGACTCTTGGTCTTAATAGATTTGGTTAAGTTTACCAACTATAGGGTGTGTTAGGTAGTTACGGGTTTGTATCTAAAATAACGCAAAATTCATTCTTAAATATTAACTAAAAATAAAATAGTCAATAAGATTCTATTAAAGAAAATTCTATACATTATTAAAATTAAACATTTATTTCAAGTCAAGGACTCTCTTAAACGAATTGATCACCTGTATTTAAATCCTTTTGAAACAATAATTGATTTATCGACGCAAGTGATTGCAGCTTTAAATGCAGTGCAGTAACTGCCACAATGGCAACAGCAAGTCCGAAAATATAGCCAAGCTTTATGGCAATACGTAAACAATGCAGACTGAGTCGCATGCGCTGAGAAGTGCGCTACACTTTTTGTTGATTTTCCGTCACTCTCCCCGCTCTCTCAATTGTATGGGAGAGAGAGCGGGCGGGTGTGTGTGTGTGTGTGTGTGCTAGCCACGTTCAACAAGTGCATGACGCTCTCTGAATTTTACCTCTCTCTCTCTCATTGTCTCTCTCAATCTTTTGTTGGCCTCGGGAAAAATGATTTGATAAGCGCGTGCGAAAAAGCCCTCCGATTCCACGCCAAATGGTCAATGTTCTGGGCCTGGTTTTTAACCCTTGATTGCCACCTGCACGCATGACAAAATAATTAGAGCCCCCGAAATTCGCAAAAATTCCACCCAGGGAGCCAAATCGTTGACGAACTATTGATTTTTTTCCTGTAGCCTCCTACAACTTATTTCCCAACTTGTTTTCCAGATGACATAAGCGCCACGTCGCCAGCAGTGGCCAGTGATAAGGTGAAACCTGCGCCACCCACTCCGCCGGAAGTCGCCAAGCGTGCGGAAATCAATTTGCAACAGGAGACAGGAGCTGGAGCATCCTTGGATGCGCCGACGACGCCGCAGGATGCTAGCGGTGATCCAATAATCGAGGCGGCCGACGAGAAGACAGGACATGCGGTAAGTGGAGAATGGAATCGAATTAGCGGCGGGCGGGAAAGATGGCAAATTAAAACTGCAGGTGCAGCGAGCAGCCCAGTGATGTATATGGGATCTAATTAAAAGGCAATCGGTGGGGGCCATCCGCCCGTTCAGCCGGGATAAATTAGGCCAAAGCAGGCGAAGGCAATCAAAGCCAGAGCCTGATAATGACAGCCGCCCACACGAACGGCACTCATCACCATCCTGGCCAAAATAGAGAAAAGGCCAAAAGCGAAATGCGTTTAGCTCCATCGACCGGCTTTACTCATTGAAAAACTCAGAGCGAGAGAAAGCACGGAGAAAGCTCTTCCAAAGAGAGAGAGAAAGCCACAGAGCCGGAAGCCTTTTTACAGGGTGTCCCAGCCGTACACAAAAAAAAGAGGCGCCTATTGATTTTTGGGGCGCTCCGTTGAACTTCACCCGGCTGGCGCTGGCTGGCTGGTAAGATTGGAGCTGGTTCGGGAAAAGAGAAGGTGGCTCTTTTGGGGGTTGCCTGGTAACACGAGCTGCCAGCAGCGAGCACGCGCCGCCCAGCTGGCGGGGAATGGGAAGCGGGAAAGCGGGAAAGCGGGGAGTCCAATGGGGAGACTGGCAGCTCAAAGTTGTTCAAGTGCCCGCCACTTGAGCGTAACAACTTTGCCGCTGCAAAACGGCTTGGAAAAAAACTAAATCGATTTTTTTTTCCTTACACTACCTTGCAACAGCAGCTGCAAAATCCTGTGACGAACAACTGGAGTCCAACGCCACGACGCCCGCGCACTCCGCCGGCGCCCCAGAACTCGCCCGTTGGTTTTGGCCAGAATGCGACTGTGCCAACCGCCTTGGCTCCTCTGCTGCAGCAGCAACAGCAACAGCAGCAGCAGCTGCTGCAACAGCAGGCCAGCAACCTCAAGCGGTGTGCAGCATCTGGCAGGAATCGCAACAGCTGCAACAGCAACAGCAACAGCATCTCCGTCAGCAGCAACAACCGCATCATCGAGTGCGATCTCATTCCGAGCAAGAAATCAAAACGGAAGGCGGCCAAAAAGGAAGCTGGCGAAAGCGAGAATATGGAGCCCATTGTTAGGGAGCAAATTAGGGTGAGTTAGAGCTATGAAACCCTCTTCAATTAGAATCTTATTTTATAAAGTACATAGAAGCACTTATTTTCAACGAAAGTATACATTTTTAAAAAAATATAGTTTCACAAGGAACTTAAAACAAAATTAAATGTAATTTGAATATAATTTTAAACAAATATTTGTCGAATAAAGCTTCTACTTCTACCAACTACTTTTTTATGCGCTTTAAACAAAATTGTCTTTAATTTAATATATTATTAAAATAGTCATTTCGAAGTGTACTTTATGAAGTAGCAGGCTACATAAATTTCAAATTCTAAAATCTCTACTAATAATATTCCGTTCCAATCGCCGCAGGACATCAAGCCTTTGCCGGGTTTCCTGCAGGCCTTCGGCTCCACCGAAATCGGTCGTTTCTCGGAGAGATTTCTGCAGACGCCCGAATCGCTGGTGGAACGATTGGCCGAGGAGTACACAGCCAGTGCGCCCAGCCATTTCCCATCTCATCCAGCCCATGGTGGCTACATAGAGCCCCCGGCCACGCCCACACCAAGCTACTATCCATTTGAGGAGCAGAACCAAGTCGGCTATCCCAGGAATCGAATGCGAGGCTATAGCTACGAGATGCCGGACTACATGGCGTATGAGCGATATGCGGCCTACGGAGCCGGGAGACCAAGGGCTCGCTACGGGGAAATCCGCTGCAACGGCTACTAGATACGATTACGGATCGTATATGGCTTAGGGGTTAGTGTTGTTGTAGTCGTGCATAGTCGTTGTCATTCGATATTCTCTGTGTGTGCCTTTTTCGGTCAAAATTGGACAATGAATCCCCCGAAGAGTTGTTGTTGTCGGGGGCATTGTTGGCAATAAGTGCGTTCAAAATTTACCACAAGAACAAAAACCAAAAGAAACAAGAAGCCAAAATATTGTTAGCAAACCATCTACATGTAAATGGAATAATCAAATAAGTAGTTCAATGTATTTTAAATCGAAGGCGTTTTAAATCGTTTCAGAATGTAAGTTGAAATCTTGTCCCACTGTACATAAAAATGCATTTCGTATATGTAACTCTAGATATAGTCAAACTACTTGGGCAGTTGGTAAATGGATCTAAAACTTATCGAGGCCTCCCGGAGTTAGAGGACAATTTTTTCTCAACTTCTACGTAAATGTAATAGACACTCCAAATTGTTTACAGCACCGTTTCCGATTGAAACATTTTTAAGGGGGCATACAAAATTAAAAACAAAAAAACACCCCAAAAAATAAAATAAAACAGCAAAAATCTTACATTTAGCAAAAAGATGTGCCATTGAAAAATATCTTTAATTAAAAACACCATAATTTAGGAATTACTTTTATGTACAATACAAATACAAATTAAAGATTAGCTACGGTAATCTAAAGCCGAATAGTTAATGTTAAAGCAATGCAGTACATTTTAGTCTAGGACACTAACACACACACACAAACACACACACACAGATACAAATACACCCATACAAAGACACACTCGAACCACCGCACTAATTTGTACTTGGCAAAATTGAATTATTTTTTATCGATTTACTAACAACATATTCATTTTCAAATCGATTTCTTTGTTGCATTGAGTGCCTTAATTTACTTGAATTTATTTCCAATATCTGTGCGTGAACAAATAAACGTAACGAATTTGTATGATTTACTTGTAGAGAAACAACCAAGTTCAGGTTTCAAAGGGGCCCAACAAAATTTCAAATGCAAATCGAACAAATCAATGAAGACAAAAATAAAAGCGAAATACCAAAACGGGAAAAAATCCAAACACATCGAGCGACATTCAAAAATGTTTAATAGCGATTAAAAAACTAGTTAATATGTAAAGAAACTACTCACCAACAATAAAAGCAAAACAAAGAAAACCTTGTAGAATTGACATTTTATGTCAACTATTTGGATGTCTTCAGCGAAATGAAGGAACAACAACCGAGGACGAAAATAAAAAATAAAAACCAAGTATTTAGTATAATTAAGTCCGTGTGTAAATAAATATTTGAAAGTTTGAATTTTATGAAATAAATCACACAAAACGATTAGCAAAGGATGTTGGTAAACAAAACGCTGACTTGTTGTTTACATCATTGTATTTTGGGACTTTTGTTTAACTGTTTTATTCGTTTAATTAATTTATAAATATTATTACATAACCTAGAAGTGTTTATTGTTTTTATCTTTTTGTGTGGGTTTGTGTGTTTAAATTAATTACAAAAATAGTTCAGTTGTAAGAAGAGCAGAATCGTAGTAATAATATTTAGAATTAGAATTTAGTTGAGCGAAAACGAAATAAGGATACAAAGGGAGGGGCCTGGAACTAAAGTACAAAAGCATACGTCTGTGTTTCCAAACAAAGATCGGTATATAGGCTTACTAACTAAATAGAAGCAGCGTAAATAATTAGGAGCTGGTTAAACACATAAAACTGAGCGATGGTGGGTACACAGGGGTGAGGTGTAAAGTGTAAGGTGTGCGGAGTTGGCTACAATTAGAGTACAATTTTCTGGTTGTATCGCTTTAATTTCCGTACATGTATAAATAGTTTTTCTGCTCACATCAGAGGGGCGATGGCCCTTGGGTTACGGGTTTTTTTTGTTTGGGGGTTTGGGGTTTTCGTTTGCATCCGCTTTATATACGCATCAAACAGTTACACAATAATCGGATCATCGGTAATAATTAGTTATAAATAATTAGTTAATGTATTATATATCATTAAATGTCCTCCGCTCCTCACTTCCTTCGCATGCCGAGGGACGCCGCACCATCCGTGTCTTGTTTGTGGTGCTGGTGCAGGAATCCCGGCTTGGGCTCCCGCAATCATGACGAGGATGCCGCCGACGAGTTCTTCGTGGAGCTGCCACCGCCACTGCCGCCCAGGCAGTTGCGCTGCTTCTCGATGTACACGTTGAGAAGCCTCACCTTGCTGGGATTCAGCACAGACAGCTTCGGCTTGACCTTCTCCTCGCCCAGCACAAAGTACAGCTTGACAATGCAGAAGACCGCCGCCTTGCGCACCATCGACTGCGTATCGTCCGCCGATCGTGCCAGATTCGGGAACACAATGTCCAGGTGGGCGTCCGTGATCTCGGAACCATGGTGTTCGGTCACCTCCAGCAGGATCTTGATGGCGCACAGGTTCGTGGGGAACTCGCCCGTCGCAATCACCGGATTGACAATGTTGATGGACAGATCCAGCGGCAGGGATGGTGCTATCCGTGGTATCATCGAGTCGATATCCCGCAAAGCCTCTTTGCTGTGCTGATAGCACTGGATGATCTTCAGCAGTATCAGCTCCAGGAAGTGCATCCAATTGTGGCGCATTTTATTGCTGCGCATTATCTTGCTGAGCACGTGCAAGCCGGCAATGACCACGTCCGTGTGCTCCGCCTCCAGAATGTTTAGCAGCATGCGCATGATCGACCTGAAGTGCTTGTTGGGCAGCTCACAGTTGCCGCCCTTGATGCAGATGCCCAGGTTCGTCAGCGACGTCTGCAGCAGCTCCACGGGCTGATCCTTTGTCAGCGTCAAGGCCACACGCACCACTTCGCTCTCCATGAGGTCGCTGGCCAGGATCAGTTCCCCGTTCTCGGCCATATTCAGCGAAACAGTCGGCACCTTCGCATCGCCCGTTGGGTGTGGCGATTTGGCATTCTGGCCAACTCGGTCCCGCTCCAGGTTGTCCAGCCGCATCGTGGCCGACTCCGGTGTGTTCGACTGCGTGGTGTTGGCCGACGACTGCGTCTTGGAGTTGGAAGACAGGGAGGCACACGAGTCCTGCTGGCCCTGATCGTGATACTGCAGGTGTCCGTTGAAGCCATTGGGCGCCAGCGCCGTCTGGTACTGACCGCCGAAGCAGTGCCGGATCTCCTCCGACGTCTTCTGGATGTTGTGCTGGATGGCGTCCAGTTCCGAGGAGAAGAGCAGCTCCTGCTCCACGGAGGACTGCCGCGAGCGGGGACTAGTGGAGCTCAGACTGAGCTGGTGGTGGCTCTGGAGCGAGGCAAACGGCCCAACCGACGGACTCTGCAACGGCTTGGGACTGCTACTGCTCAGCGGAGAGCTGCTTGGCGAATTGGCACCCGAATTGCCGCTTTGGCTCTGCCTGCGCATGTTCGACTGGATTAGGCTGCGGGCCGAGTCCTGGTATCCCTTTGGCAGGTTGGCCAACAGTCGTGTCATCTGCGGGGTGTTCAAATTGTACAGGGCCACCAGGCAACTCCTGGCCTGGGAGCGCAGCTCCATCGATTTCTGGTCCGCCGCCAGCTGGGCCAACTTAAGGACCGTCCGTTCGCAAGCCTGGCTCTGGTCGCTGGGAAAGTCACTGCTCTTGCAGTACGTGTTGGCCAGATCGGTGAGGAAGCGCAAGATGGCTAGGCGCGTCTTGGTTGTCGGCGTCTGCGTGGAGTCCGAGATGATCCTGAAGAGCTCCTTGAGCTGCAATTGCGTGGGGAAGTACTCGTGCACCACTTGCAGCGTCTTCCAGATCTTGCTGTGCATCGAGTTGAGGAGATCGGTGCCCAGTTTGTTGAACAGACGCGTCAGCAGGATGAAGAGCCAGTCGTGTAGCTCGGGCGCATGGACCAGAATCAGCTCGGTGACCGTGTCCAGGAACAGAGAGTACACCTTGGTGTGCGTGTCCATGAACATCTTGCGGAACATGTCCAGAACGCACTGCAGCTGCTGCTGCGACAGCTCCTTGCCATCGGCCAGGTACTGGGTAAGGCTGATCAGCCCGTCCTTCCTTTCAGACCAGTGCGTCGAGGCGCAAAACTGGATTATAGTTTCGATATCGTCAAAAGGCGCCCGCTGCGTGCTCCAGTCCAAACGGGTGTGGCTTCCACTCAGCGAATAGTTCGATTTGTTGCCTCTGGTGTAACTGGAGTCGAAAGATCGCTCCGAGCACACGGAACTGGCCTCGGAGTCAATGTCATCAGACTCGTCGCGTCCCAGCAGTTTCCTGCCCATCCTCATTCCGCCACTGCGCATGTAGTCTCCGGACACATAGTCCGGCTGCCCCTCATCTCCGACGCCCAGTGTGTGTTCTGCTTCACGGGATTGGGCCAAAAGGCGAGCTGCCGCCGAGGGCCTCACGGGATTGTTTCTCTCCGGCGTTCTTCGCGATCCCGCTCCCGTCGAGTACAAACTACGCTTCATCAGGCCGCCGCCAGATCTAGTTGGACTCGTTTCCCGGGAGCTCGCTGTGCTTCGGGGTATTCCAGAGGCCTTTTTGGGTATGGCGCCGGTGGCGCCACGATAGTAGCTACTGATTCCGCCATACTGATCCCGCAGCTTTGTGCTTGGCGAGGTGGAACGTGATCCTGGCTGTGACTGAGACACACCGGCTCGTCCCCGGGGGCGTGGCGTGACCGATCCCGGTGTGGTTGCCGGCGTGGAACCGCTGTTGGAATTCAAACGTGGCCTGGGCAATGATCCGCTAGCCGCTGCTCCAGTCGCCGATTGCTGGTTGGTGTTGCTGGGCCCCAGCGGCTTGCGTTGCCTCGAAAACAGGGTGTACTGTGCCCGGGCTTTGGCTCGCTGTGCAGCAGCTGTGTCCACAGCTGATATGGATCTCATGCTAGGCGTTGGCTTTTGCAGAGTTCCAGGGGTTCGGCCTATGCGGGATACAGTGCGTCTAGTTTCCGGTGCGGCCACATTCCCTCCACCTCCACCTCCACCTCCTCCGCCGCCTTCTCTTTCCCTTTCCAGTGCTCGCTGGGCAGCAATGTCCAACGTGCCATATATCTGATCCGCCAGATCCGGAAAGTGCCGCCTGAAGGCCCAGTAAGCGCACCTGGAATGACGGCGCGCATCGCTATCCGCATCGCCAATGGACTTCTTCAGGGTATCCCGCAGAATGGTGGAATGCCGCTCCAACGCCTTCGTCTGCCACTCCTCGAAGAGCAGCACCATCAGCTCGCAGAGCGTGGATCTAATATCTTTCGACTTTGACTGGTTTAGGGTGTCCGTGTAGATCTTGAGCAGCTTCGGCGCATGCGTGTACTTTATGATGTACTTGAGCGCCAGCGTGGAGGCGGAGGCTATGACCTTGGCGCTATTTTGGATCAGATTGATCAGCTGCTCCAAAATGCTCCAGCAGAAGGCGTCCAGCTTATTACGTAGTGTCTTGGACATGTAGGCGATGGTGATGCACGCCTCGCGGATCACCTGTGAGCGCAGTTCCTCTTTGAGGATGTCCAGAAAGCCTATGGACAGGTCCTTCAGCTGCACAGCCACAAACTGCGGCTGGGTGTGGTAGCTGAGTATGAGCAGCGAACGAATCTTCTTGAGAGCATCCACGCGCTTCTCCCAGTCCGCGTTTTTATCGCTTATGATTACCAGTATTTGCTTGTAGACGTCGTCCATGTCCTTGGCATGGAAGATGCTCAACTGCGGGACTGCCTCGAAACTTGACTCGAAGGTCTCCATGGTCACGGCGCCGGCATCGCCGCTCACATCGTTCACACTCGGTTTGGCGCGCATCGTGGAGGAGATGGCCGAGTGCAGTGGCCGCTTGATCATCCGGGTGGGTCGTTCCCTCAGCCCAATGTTGTCCGCCTCGTCCAGACCGACTCCGTTGCCATTGCCATTGGTGTTCTTGAGGGCGGAAGGCAGCAGTAGACCCTCCTGCTTGACCTGGTCGAATTTTTGCTCAAGCATCGCCAGCTTGGAAGCGGGCACGTCGTCCATGCGACGTAGGTCTGGTCGCAGGCGATCACCCACATGTTTGTAGATCTCCATCAGCGTCTGGATGGCCGACTCTCGCACATTAACCGTGGGATCGCCGAGAAGGGCACAAACTGGTGGAATATAGACGCGCACGCTCAGCTGCTGAGTGCCATACTCGTGCAGAGCATTCACTATCGTCTGCAGGAACTCCTCGCGCACCTTGGCGTTCTTGTGCTTGAAGCAGCTGGTGGCCAGCTTATCGATCAGCGCCTGGGGCGGAAGCACTCGGTGCTCCATGAGGTCGCGCAGCAGGAGTTGCGCCTTCTCGCGAACCGTGTCCCTGCTGTCCCCCAACCGATCGATCACATGTGGCAAAACGGTGGCTGTGTACGCATTGAAATCGCTGCCCAGTCGCCTGATTAGCTCCGAGAATGCCTCCAGGGATTTTTGTGCAATCTTAAAGTGGCTGCCCGTTAGCCAGGGCATCAGCCCGTCGATGAGGAAGCCCATGTCCGTGCAGACAATCGAGTTGGTTTCGTCGCTCAGGAATGTCACCAGATCCTCGGCGAGCTGCACCTTCACGCGCATATCGGCCTTGGGCATCTGCTGGATGAATCCATCCAGATCGCTGGGCTTGCGGTAGGCCATCGTTCCGTGTATGTTTCCGTCCTACGTGCTGTGACTGCAATAAACCAGGATAACGTGTTAGTGTAGCCGCAGTTTTGGCAAATTAAATAAATGTTGTATGAGACGGGCAAATTTTTGGCGCAAGGATGCAGTGGCCATAAAAGTGAAGGGCTATCAAATTGAAAATGAGAAACAAAATGTGTTATTTGTGTTTGCCAGGAAGTTTACAAGTGTACAGTACAAATTAAACTAAAATTCTGACCGAGTCGTCAGTATTTGGGATTCGTAAACTACTATGTGATATATTTTATTTCTATCTTATAATGTTTTAATAATTATTTTTTGGCCAATAATGCCAACTCTTAGTTTTAAAGCAAATTTGAAAAGTTGTGGTCGTTTAATGAGTCCCTCAAATATAAACGGTCGCAAATAAACGACAACTCTGTTCTTTTTATTTAAGCAAACCTTTACATTAGAAATTGTAATTTGTTTGTTTACTTTGTACACTGTAAACTTTTAAAAACTAAGAACACATTATCACAACATTAAAGCTTCAGAGAAGAATATGAAATATGAGCCATAGTGGGTAAATGATACGAGCTGCTTTGTACAAAGGAAGTGTTTTGCCCTAAACTGAAAAATGAAGGATATTTAAGATACCTTTTGTTTAAAACTCAAAAGCAGTGACTAATAGGAAGCTGTATGATGCAGCCTTTATCCTCCCTAATGAAATGTTCCCGCCAAATCCTGTACTTGCTCATTTATCGCTTTTCAATTGTGGAGCGCTCGTGCGCAGAAGAGCGCCACCAAAGTGGCAAGAAGCAGCAGCAGCAACAGCCGCAGTAAGTTGGCCAACAATTTGCGTGTGAGGTGAAGTCACAGAGCCAGAATGGCGATAAAACGAGAGAGGAGTGGCGAAGTGGGCTCAAAGAGAGCTGGAAAAGTAGGTGAACGGCTGTGCGGGTGGGGATGGGCATGGATACATGGCGGTATGGCTATATGGCTATGTGGATACTTGGGTACTTGACTGCCAGAGTTGCAGGAGGGTTTTGGGGCTACAGACACCCAGATGGTGGGGCGTTGTTACGTGCACGAAACGTGAATCATCTCAGGGGCGCCGAGAGCGTGACGAAGTCAGGGGAAAAGTGGGTGGCGGACAGGAAGCAACGTGCTCTGTCTATGGATTTACCATATATATGGGGATTCGAATGGCAACATTTTTGGCATTGTGCTCTGCCGTCACAAAACAACATTTTGCTTGCGAAGAGCAATATTATTTATATGCACTGCAAAATAAGCAGCTCAATATCAGATCAATAATACCATTAGAAATTGTAATCTTTAATTGGGGTGGATTCAGACTAATTCGTAAGCAACTGTTTTTAGTAATAAAGCTTAAAGTTCAAACACAGCCGCAGGGCAATAAATTTTAGATAATTTTAATTTTTAACAACGAACCGTACTTAATAAAATGTATGAGTATTTTTATTTAAATTGTATTAATCTGTTAGATCCTTATACCTGGTACAGAATGTATTTATAAATCATGAAATTGATGCTCGTTTCATATAAAGATTTCTTTCTGTGTAAAATTGGAATGGCCAGAATGAGATAATATATCTAAATTACTAAGCAACAACAGCGACTTGTTGAGAGAGCGAAGAGAACTCAGTGGAGAATAGGTTTCTCACTCAACTAAAAATTAGCATTTGCATACGCAATTTTCTATTAATAAAAAACATCAACACAACTTGCTTTCGTAACTATTTTTCAGGGTTTTTCGCGGCGATAAGATATGAACTTGTTAATCAAACTGTTGGAATTCGAGGTTAAAATTAACCTATCAAAATGTTTGCCAGCAGCTGGTCTGCTCGACGGATTTTTTTGGTAAATTAATTGTTGAAAAATAGCCGGCGACGACGTCATTCCGCGGCTAAATGTCACAAGAAGAGAGTGAAAAAGAGCGAAGAAAGAGCGGAAAAATGTTTTATTTTAACACATTTTGTTTTTGTATCTTTAAGATACGCACTCTCAAGCACACACACACACACACACACACACACATACCTATTTGCAAATCCGGCTGCGCTGCTTCTTCTTCTTCCTACTTCTCCTCCTCCTCTTCTTCCTTGCTTTTTTGTTTTGGGCTGGGTCGCAGCAGCAATAAAAAAAAAATCAACAACTGCTAACTGTTGTTGCCCTTTGGCAAGCCGAAGAATTGATTTTCCAGCCGTCGGTTGAAAAACGCGTTGCCAAATACCGCAAATACGCGTGACGAGTTGACTAAATTTACTTTCGAGCACAGCCAAATTGAACAATTGCCCCCAAAAAAAGTAGAGATCACAGTTTTGCTCTTCCTATTTCGTTTGTTTTCTTGCTGTTGTTTTTGGGGCAGCGCAGTCAGTTTCACTTTGTCATTGGTATTTGTTGTTGCCGTCTCTCTACCGTTATTGCTGGCTGCGACAACAACAAAAGCTACGAAATTCCAGCAGCGCTAGTTTTTCTCCCTCACTCCTGCTCTCTCCCGTTCTGGCTTTAGAGATGACGCGCTTGGGGTCAGAGGTTTTGGTTTTGCACTTTGTTTGTGGTCGCCGAGCGTTTGCTGTGCCCGGCAAACATCACATTTTGCTGCGCCTCGGCATCGATTGTTTGTCTGCCACGGCTTGCGGTTAATTACACGGTTTTTGGCTTAAATTTAGCAGCAAATCGTCAGTCCGTTGCGTTGCGAAAAAAGTTACCTAGAGATGGGAAAAATTCGATACCAACATCGGTATTATCGATGTTTAAAAATAGGTTATATCGATGTTTGGCAGGGATCATCGATGACTTTCCATCTCTAACTACACATTTTCGCACAGTTTACTTTTTACTCCTGTTCTTGTACACTGTTAACTTTTCAATCCACGGCTTGCACACTGTCTGTTAAAACTCTACATTACCAACCACTCATAAACAAATATGTAAACATAAATTTGGTTTTAACTAAACTTGCCGGCACTGTTTTAAGGCTCTCAGAAAATTTAATTCTAATACTTACAAAACTATTATTCATTTATTTATTTTTTCTTATAAATAAAAGTAATACAAGTTATTAACCTTTCAATGGCTTAAGAAATATAGCCGCTGAAAATTGTATTTTAAGCATCAATAAATACGGATATTTTCCGCCAAAACATCGGTGGTATCGATGTCTGACTGAATTTTGTTTTGCATGCGCTTTGCCGTTACAATAATTCGGTGTTGCCAACTATGTAAAACAGCTCTCGCGTTGCCAAATAAATTAAAAACAAATTTAAGCCGTTTTTTGAATGTTAAAAAAACTGAAATTCCGTATGTTTTTATTCTTAATATTTTTGATGTCATACTAAAAATGTTTTAGGTTAAATAAAATAATGTGTTACGCAACTGTCCTAATAGGCAGAATGTGAAAACATATTTTAAGAAACAAATTTAATATAAAAATACTTTCCCATCCTCTTCGTTCAAACATTATATTAATAAAATCGTATCTTGCGACTGTAAAATCATGTTTAACTGCTATACATTTTTTATTTTAAAGTGCCATGAACAATTCTTTTTTTATTTTACTTTTATAACTTGTTCATAACTGTTTTTCAAGGCTTTTACAAGTTTTAATCAGAATTCAGCCTTGTTAGGGATTTAAAGGCCAACAAATTGTTTTTTAAATTTGGACAATGTAGAAAAAATTTTTTTAAACACGTAATTTATTGTTATTTTATCATAAAAAATATTTTATATAATAATATTATCATATTGGCCAGTCCTCTGCGCCCCTTGGAGAAAAGGTGCTTTGCGGTGAAGCACCAAAAGGTGGTTTATAGAAGAGAAAATGTGTAAAGAATTTACAAATGTGTAATCAAGATTCACCTCACCGGCGCTCCCATTACAGATAGCAGCGACAAGCTGCTTGATTGGCGTTTTATTTAGTAAATAGCAATTGTCATTACTATGCAAATTAATTGTAATTGACACCAGCTGGTTTCCTATTTAGTTGCCAAGTGGATCGCACGTGTCGGCAATCAACAGATGGCAGAATAATGTAACCATAAGCCCGCCGCCTTATCGTATGACTGAATGAATGCTCATTTAAATAAATGGAAAACCTCACGAGCTGACTACCAATTCAAGAAATTTATTGTGCAAGTCTCATCAAATACTGGAATTGGAATTCCTCAGACTAAACTAATTTAATTACGGTTTTTATCAGTCTTTGTTGACCTGGTGGACGGCCTGAGCCCGTCCGGACGGATCCTCCGGACAGCCCCAATCGAGGCGTGGCACCCATCTCACCACGGTTCGGGCGGCAGATTCTCCGGGAAATTGTTCGGCGAAAATGCAGCGATAGTAGAAGGCCTCTTTGGTGGTGGGCGTGTTGAAGGGAAACCGTAGAGCGGCTCCGGCGAATTCCTCGTCGCTAACGTGACTAGTGGCCACCCTGCGGATGCTGTCGATCCAATCGTAGCCCACTCCATCGGAGAACTGCTCCTTTTGCCGCCAGAGGACTTCATCTGGTAGGTAGTTATCCGCAAAAGCAGCGCGCAGGACGTACTTCTCCAAGCGCTTTTGCTGCTCTCCTCCAAATTTGTTAAGCGGTCCCGGTATCTTATCCTCCGGCCTGATTTGCATAACATGGTTAACGAAACCCGTGTCCAGGAAGGGCACTCGCAACTCCACTCCCTTGGCCATGGCCACCTTGTTGGCTCTTAAACAATCAGATAAATGCAGCTGCCGCACTCTCTTCACCAGCTCCTCGTGGAAATCCACGTAGTTTGGAGCCTTGTGGAAGTACAGATACCCACCAAAGATCTCATCTGCTCCTTCGCCCGAAAGAATCATCTTAATACCGGTGCTCTTGATATACCTAGCCAGTAGCAACATGGGCAAACTACATCTCACAGTGGTAACATCGTAGGTTTCCAGGTGGAAAACGATATCCCTTATGCCATCCAGAGCCTCGTCGATTTCAAAGATGATCTCCTTGTGATCGCTGTCTATATACTTGGCCACATGCCGGGCAGCCTGGAAGTCGGGTGCATCTTTAAGGCCCACAGAGAAGGTTTTCAGACGAAAGCTGGGATCCTTTTCCCGCATTATCTTTGTGGCTATGGAGGCTATAAGACTAGAATCCACTCCGCCAGACAGTAGGGCTCCTAGGTGCACATCACATTGCAGATGACTGCGCACAGCGGACTCCAAGTTGGCTCGAAGTAGGGCTAAGTCGCAAGATTGGCTGGGCACCTCCGAGATCCACGGTTGCTCGAACTGCCAGCAGGTTTTCAGCTCGCCAACCCTGCCAAAACGAGCCTCGCCAGGCGTAAAAGTCTCCACCTTGGTGCAGGTGTCCACCAGGCACTTCATCTCAGAGGCAACCCAAAGGTTTCCCGCCGCATCCTCGCCCACGTACATGGGTATGATACCAAAGGGATCTCGTGCCAGTAGGACTTCTTTGGTCCTTCGATCGTACAGGGCAAAAGCAAACATTCCGGTAATATATTGCAGTAGATCCTTGCCGTAATCCTTGTACAGCTCCAGTATCACATGGCAATCACTTTTCGGTTTGTAGAAGCCACGTTTTTTTGCTATCTCAGCCGAAAGTTCCAAATAGTTGTAGATCTCTCCGTTGGCCACCAGGATAAGGTTGCCATCTTCAGAGACGAAGGGTTGGTCGCCCATTTCAACGCCCACAATTCGCAGCCGTTCGTGCACCATGGCCACTCCTTCAGAGGGGATTACATAGACGCCCGTGGAATCCGGACCACGATGCCGCTGTTTTCCACTTTGCCGGTAGGCCAGCTCCCTCAAACTGTGTTTGCTGCCACGCAGGAATTGCGGGGGAATCGGTTTGCCGTCCCTCGAAAATATGGAAAATATGCCACACATCGCTTGCTTTATTTTTTTTAAATTTAATTTAAATACTTGACCAAGCGCGGTCTGAACTTTGCGAATTCCGAAAGCTGAATGAAGGTTTTTACTGAGCAGCACTCTTATTTATTGCCAAAGCTCTCTGGCTTCGGCTCTCTTTATTTCTTTTTAGTCGCTCACTTAACCTGTTCTGCTGATTTCCACGTGCTACCAGTTTCGTCACCCGTTTTCTAGAATAGAAAAGCCTGCAGCCAAAAATTCCCCGAAATTGGGGGAACTTAAAAAAAAATCACTATGAATGATTTGCTTGTATTTATTTGTTTATGCTTAACACAGTCTTATCAAAAGTGGAACAGCTGTCAGTGGCTAAAAAACTTGATAAAGAATACGCCGGGTAGCTCTGTTTACCATGCTCTATGTTTTGTTCTCTCTGGATACTCTCTAGGTTACCAGCTGATTATTTTTTATCACTGATTTCGTCACCCAATTTACACTTTCTCAGAGTACATTGATTATTCTATCAATTATGTATGGATTACTCAAAATTGAGCAAGCTAATTAACACAGATGTCTATTTATAAAATTTGAGAAAATAAAACAATAAAACAATTAAGTCAATGTTTATGGCTTTTATGAAGAATATGATTAGTTTCATATGACTTTAAATTAATTTCTTTATAATATTAGTAACTTCTGAGTATCCTACAATTTTAATGAACAAAATATAATTGTTTTAATTTTCATAATAATAATCTTTAATGAAAAAAATATTTAATTTAATTTTAGTTTTATTCATGAAAAAATGTAATTTTGTATTCATGATTATAAGGGTATTTAGCTGACTATTATTTATTTCTTATTTCTCTTGTTGTTACTCGATTTTGGCAGAGTGCCAGTGGGTCAAAAAAAAAAAGAGTGGGTAAATCAATCAGCAGAGAGGGAGACCGGTTTCTTGCTGTTCTCTCAAAATGTTTGCGCTCAAACTATGTTATCATACATTTGTGAAATATTATACTGACTGCAACTGAAATTTAAGGAATTGTTTGCTTAAAATAATTCTTTAAAGTTAAAGTGGAAATAAAAAATCTGAAATGTGGTTAGTTTGTTCCATTTTATTTTATTTTAGACATCTATTTATATATAATAGTTTAACCCATCTCTTAATTGAACTATAAAAGATTTCAAATTATTCAATCACACTTATCACTTATAAAAAGCTATTGAACATCTCGTGACTATTTTACGAAAATATAATAAATCATAGTTGAAGACTTTTTTATAAAACATATCAAAACGTTTGAATAACATTTACTTAATCTCCTGGCTCGTTACGAAAAGCTCTTTAACATCTCTTGACCATCCGCACCAACATGATGTTAACCAAAAAGCTCGCGCTGTTGGCTAACATGGCGCCAAGCATACAGGTGGTTGCCGCTGGTCCACGTAGCCGTACTTTGAGACTTCGGTCCATGCGATAAATATGTCAAGTGCTTACAGATAAACAGAAATCTCCCGTGTTTAATTATGCAGACGTTTTAATTACGCATCTAACACTGACGAATTTGGATAGTGATGTCATACTGGATGGAGCGAGCCACAGTAAATAACCACGATTTATAACCCGAGGGTCCCGAGTCCGCTCCTGGGCGTTCGGCGTGCGCGCTTGTTGCTTCCAAGTCGTTTTGTCGGCGACGAGCGATTCAATTCAGTTGCCGATGGAACGCGACACTGTGCGGCAGGAAGTTGCGTATACGACGCATTGTCATTCGGCCAGCGGCGCGAATCGGAAGTCCTTTCTTCGCGCGCTCCTCGAATTCGCCTTTTCTTTTTCGAGAACCCAACAAGGTGCTAAGTGCGTGTAATTAGTCGAAATTTAATTAATTGAAAAGAATTTAAAATTGAGTTACCTTGAGGCAATGGAGGCTGGTAAGCCGAAAAGTGAATTTTGGTGGCGAAGTGATTCCCGCCGGAAATTGTGCGTAAAAATAATACGACCCCTGGCAGAAGCTAGTCAAGTTTAAAAGAGTTTTAAGAAAGTTTTTAACAACAGTGTAACAGAAAAGAACGGATTTTTCGTTATGGTTTACTTTAAAGGTTATAAATGAAATTTAGTACAACCAAAGTTTCTTGAATTAATTTTAATGAAGACGGGTTTAAAATTCAATTAAATATAATTACACTTTAAATAGTTTTGTTGAAACTCTTTTTATTAATTTACTAAGTCGGCTAATAGTAATAAAATAACAACAATGAAAATAAAGTTAAATAAAACTTTATAATTCAATTACATTTAAACAAATGTTGTTGCTGACCCACTTACTCAAATGTAAACCTTATATTTTTAATCAATTGAAGATGATTGTCAATAAAAGTGCGGCAATTTATTTGCCTTTGAAAGCCTTAATTAAAATGCTTAATTGGGATGAAAATAAATTGAAGACATATCAATCTTAAAATTACATTTAAAATCAGAAAAGTTTATCCAGCTTCTCCGACTAAAAACCATAAAAACGGACACAACTTTCAACACGAAAAGTGAAGGTAAATTTATGTGCTACTCAAAAATATCAAATCAAAATCAAATAAAGCAAACTTTTTATTGGCGCCGAGCCCGAAAATCGAAGGGAATCGAGCATGACCTATTACTGTCACGTCCGTTTCCGGAATTCCGGGAAAGATGGCCAAAAACACGAGCCACCAACTTTTGGGTCACGTTTGCTGGTTTCGAACGAATTTAAATGGACCGAGACCCATTTTTCTAGATCGAGATGCACATTGCCATAAAATCAGTAATAAATAGAGCAACCGAAATGTTGGGGCCAATTAATTAAAAAGTTTTCGCGCTGCCAAAATCAAATCAACAATTTTCCCAAGTATTTAGGCGTAAAATTCGAATTGGAAGTTTTAACAATCAAGTGGCCGTAGGGAGATTGATGTTCTACATACAGAAAAATTATTTATGAAATCAAAATATTGTTTTCAAGACCTTACATGCTTGTTTTAATCACCCTAAACTGTGAGTGGAAATATATAATTAAGTTCCAGAAAGTCTTGATTTCTCACTAATGTAGACTCATGATTCTTTATTTATCACCCAATTCGATGATAAAATGCATTCTTGCGCTGAATCACAGATATGCTTAGGATAAAATTGGATTAAAGTATACAAGTTTTTATACAAGTTAAATTAAAGTGAATTAATATACATATATAAAATGAGCATAACTAATTTTTGTTTTGTAAAGCATAAATACTCATATATGAATATTATTTTTTGAATGAAATTTGTTTTTTAAATCAAAACTGTTTGTGTATGGTAATCTTGGAATTTAAGATTTAATATTCCAAAATTCACAGCTTTGTAAATTGTGTTTTGATTTTATTTCCTCAGTGCATGTGGCTTGCTGTTGTTTAAGGATACGCTGTGAGAAAATGGATACGGATGCGATAGAAATGGATAACCGTGTTGTCTGCAGCCGGCGGAAATCAATTCGCATTACTGCAGCCTCAGCGAGCTGCCCAAAAAACTTTGTGCGCAGCGGGCAAAACGCAAATAAATTGGTGGTTTTAAACCCGCTCGAATTGGGGGTTGATTAGAGAACGTAGACCCTTTGGGCTTAATACCTGCCACCCACCATTTGTCTAGCCGGGCGGAGTGCTTGACCCCGAGGTGACCCTAAAAATAGGCGTGTGCAGCCTCCACCCGGGCTATTTTTAATCGCTCGCTCCTTCACTGTCGCTATCTTTAAGCTCTTAATTAGTTTCATTTTTTGTGGCGACCACAATGTGACGTGACACAAATTCGGGTTTTGGCACAAATAGTTGAATGACCAGCAGTGAAACGACAAAAGCATAGTCTCCTTTTTAGCCCCAAAAGGACACGCCCACGGCTAATTGGTTTCAGTGAGTGTGTGAGTGTGTAAATGTGTGCTAGCGTATGTGTGCGACTGTTTGTCATAATCAAATATCTTAACACGCAAGCTCAGACCTTTTGCGCTTCTTTTGGCCTGGGGTTTTGCCACCTTTTCTGGACCCTAATGGCACGGCCACTAATCGGAGCAAAAAGTTGCCACTGCTGCAGTTCTTAATTAGCTATTTGACGCATTATGCTGCCGAGCTTGTTGGCATGTGCGGGCATTAAGTCCGCTCCTGTTTGCAGGATTAGTCCCTGAAAGGTGAAATTAACTGGGCCCAGACTGAAGAGAATGATGCATAATAAGCGGCGAGTTCCTGGACAAAAAGAGGTGGCTTAAAAAGGATACAGCTGGACAGAGGGTCAAGTGCCAGGGCAGAGGCTAATAGGTAGTTAATTTAATCCACACTGTAAGCAGTCCCAGCTTAAATGAAAGCCGAATGAAAGCAGCAAAGCTGTATGTTTAAGAAAAAAAATATACAAACGCAAATTGGCCAAATAATTAATGGGAAAGGTGAGCAGATCCTGAACGAACTATTACTTAATACTTTAACTTTAATTCAAAAAGTTAGTTGTTATAAATATGTCTTGACAGACATACATATTTGAAATATACGTAGAATTAATTAATTAATACAAGAACTCAACTTAACAGCTGACTTGTAAATGTCTGTCTTTATTTCCTTGAAATAACCAATAAATTAACCACATTTATTCAAAACCGAGCTTCTATTCATTGAACATTCAATAAGCTACCACCCAGTGCAGTTGGCTTCACTGTCAATCACTCAGTTCAATTGAAATTTATCCATAATGAGGCATCTGCGAGACAGCCTTGACATTGAGATACAAGTTACACGATACAAGATGCATTGAGTAGCCAAAGGCAGCGGCAGATACAAATACTATATATACACAGGCACAAAAGAGAAATACAAACATTCTGCAGTTATTTTTATGATTGAATCAATAAGGCGCATTGGGAAGGTCAACTTGAGACTAGGACTTGGCCCTGTGGAACGTGGCCTCTGGCGACCTGTTGAACTGAGCAAAGCAGAGCAGAGCAGAGAAATCCGATCGAATACCTTTAATATTAGCTGGAAACAACACTTGGCTGATTTTATGGCACCCCTAGGCAAAGTATTTAATGAATTTATTTATGCCTCAATCACACAATTTAATTCAATTCG